AGTCTAATTTACCACTGACTTAAACCAAATCATCAGAGAGCTGTGAAGCTGGACCATACTGGACCTTAACTGAGTTGCTTTCATGAAGTGGTGCTTTGCTGTTCTTCGACTCTTAACAGCAACAAGCAGCCATTTGAAACCCAGTATTGCTTTTACTGCAAGGATGTTGACATCCATTAAATCGCCGCATCCTTCTTATTAGGACCTATGGGAGAAATTTCTTTCATATCTTATACCAGGAAAAGTCATGCTATCCAAAGCAGCTGACATGTTGTGATCTCGAAACTAATAGCCTTCCCTTTTTGCTTTGCTTGCTAAGTTCAGCCAGATCTGAGACTCATATTTCACCATTTTGGAGGGCTTAATATGTGTTTTTTATATGGTACCTTTATTTGAGCTTTCTTTTCTTCTTTCATGAGCCTTGATTTTACGTAATCATAAGGTCACAAGTATTTGCAGCAGCCACCTAAACCTGGGTCCAGGGCTGTTACCAGTTACACGAGGGCAGGGAGGGAAGTGGAGGCTGAGGGATAATGGATCGGGACCGGAAGGGAGTCAGGCAAAGTGAGGAAGGAGGGAGAAAAGGAGACGGAAGAGGAGTTTTGATGTGTTGGGATCTGTGGGAGAGGCTTGGGGTGGGGGGATAGCGCCTACTGCCCTGTGAGTTGGGTATTAACCCTTTGCTCTGCTACTTAACTGTTCTAAACCCTTAGACGAACCACATTCTGCGATGATTGAAGAAGCCCATCTGGGAGCTTCTGTGAGGATAGCAGGACAGGACAACCCCAGGGGCTGTATGAAGTCAAGTTGCATGTCCTTTAATGAAAAACACTAGAAGTTTTTAGCTTTTCTGCCAAATGCAAGGGAATCTTTTATTGCTGCCCTCGGTAATGTGTACATTCATTCAGGTTTCACTGACTTGGAATTTGCAAAAACTGGAAGATTACTGTGGTATAGGGGTAGGGTGCTGAGGGAGCTGTAGCACTTCGGTTACCTCCTCCCAAACTCCAGGTGTGGAAGTGAGTGTCTCACAGACGAGGGAAAGCAGTCCTTGGTGTGTTCAGACACGGCATGTGGAGCCAGGAAACAAAGTCATCCTCTCAGGGGTCCTGACACTACTAGAAAGGAGATTAACGACTAAAAAGTTTCTAAACCTCTGGTGGTTCCCTTAAAGGAATATTTTATTTCTGAATGTTAAAAGTGGTATATTAAATTTTTTAAAAATATTTTTTATCTCCTATTTGTCAGAAAGACTTATAGTGAGCTATAAAATAGTATTCTAAAGCAATTATATTAGAACCTATTTTATCTATACTATGTCCAGTCTTTTAAAGAATGCAGCTGTTTCTTTTAAAATACATACATTTCCATCTTCTAATTTGGAAAGGACTTCTTCACCTACATTTACTCCAGGTGTTTAAAACACTTTATAGCATTATGGGAAAATATTGTATTTTTGAAATCTGGAGTGCAAGTCTTTTTCCATGTAGAATCCATTGTTTTAAAAAATACATAATTCTGAAACGTCTTGGGTCTTGACTCTCTTGACAAGCTAGCAGGACAGCTGGGGCCGCCCATGCAGGTGGCAGCCCTCCAGTGAGCTCTGAGAGCAGAGCCTTGGTGACAGCAGGCTGTGCATAGCGTGTGGGGGGTGAGTCTGAAGCAGCTAGAGGAGATCTAGCAATCCCACCACTTGGTATATGTCCAAAGGACACGAAATTAGGATGGCAAAGAGATACATGCACTCCCTTGTTTATTGCAGCATGATCCACAGTAGCCACGATAGGGAAGCAGTTAAGTACTTGAGCAGTGGATGAATGGGCATAGAGAATGTGCTATAGATACACAATGGAATACTATTCAGCCATAAAAAAGAATGAAATCCTGCTATTGGTGACAACATCGATGAATCTGGAGGGCATTATGTTAAGTGACATAAGCCAGGCACAGAAAGACAAATACCACATGATCTCACTCATGTGGAATCTGAAAAAGTCTCAAAGAAGTAGAGAGTAGGATCTTTGTTACTGGAGGCTGGGGGGAGGGTGAGTGGGAAGGAGAGGTTGGGGAGATACTGGTCAAAGAATATGTATTTAGAGTTAGGAGGAAGACGTTCAAGAGGTCTGTTGTACAGCAGACTGTTGGTAAGCTATAGTAAGTCACAATATAGTGTATTCTTGAAAAATGCTAAGAGAGTGGGTGTTAAGTGTTCTCACCATGGACATGATAACTATGTGAGGTAACGCGTTTGTTCATTAGCTAGATTTAACCATTCCATGGGTGCGTATATACTTCAAAACATCACGTACACAATAAATACATAAGTTTTATATGCCAAGTTTAAATAAAGAAATCGGAAAATTAGAAAAAAACTAGAGAAGGACTCTTCCAACCAGAATTCCCAGCTCACAGTGTCTCAGCCACTGAAAACTACCAGGATCTGAGGGCAAATACCATCTATTGTGAGCGGAAGCTAGCTCTATTGTGAGCAGAAGCTAGAAGCAGCTGGGATTATCCTGTAATATGGCTTTTCTCCAGGTACCAGGTAACACATCTTAGTAGCAGGTTGGGTTTTTTTAATGGCGTTTGACTTTTTCCTTCTTCTCTGCCCTCACTCGTGGTGGGGCACTGCTGCTAAGGTGAAAACGACCAGATGAAGGCATCATTATGTACTTGTCTCAGTGAGGTGTTTTGTTTGTTGTTTGTTTTCAGCTGTCGAGGCCCTGATATATTTGAGAGGATTAGGTAAAAAGTGGCCACGAAAAACTGCTTTTAACAACTTGGCTGGAAAAAAAAAGGCATATCACAGAAATGATAATAGAAACAAATATTTTGTTCTATGCAGCATCCTGTATTGTACCTTGTCCTTCTTGAAGGTCACATTTAGTATTTCAAATAAATGAAATCATTTATTCAGCAAATATTGAGTGCCTGTATGTGCCAGGCCTTCTGCTAGGCCTCAGGAACGTAGCAGTGACCAGGGTGAACACAGTCACTGGCCTCATACAGCTAACACGATTCCTCTTTTATGTTAGCCTGAGTTTCTTGAAGTAAAGGCTCATATTTTTCTTAGGGTTTGTATGCCTGGTGGCTAACAACTTGATTTTTCTAGTCCATCGCCTTAGCACAGTCCCAGCTAGCAGTGGGTGTCCAGTAGACTCGTGCGGAATGGATCTCTTCCAGCCCCAATGCTTCCTTGTAACTCCCAAAGATTGTAAATCATTTTTTGACCATACCGGCCACCACAGAACAACCAGCAGGTGCTTAATTAATGTATTCATGCCTCCTGTCAATTCCTGCGCATTTTGTAGTTTCAGTCTTTGCAGATTGTAGGTGTTGGGATTTTCATTTTCCTTGTTCCTTTATGCAAGCCATTTAAACCGCATCTTCATGCCCCTGTTGGATTGTCATTGTCTCTAGGTTTCAGTACAGCACGTTTTCATTTGAAAACTTCGTTAGTCTCAGTGGTAATATGCTTTCTCCATTCTCCTGCATTCATTTCACTGTCACTGCTTTAGAATGTCTCGATTCATGTTTAAAATATTTCCTCTTGTCACTGTGCACTGAAACTGTCAAGGCAGTGTCCTCCCGATCTGTTGCTTTTTGAAAAGTTAGCAGACTTAAGTATTCTACTCTTTTGTAAACTGCACAAAGGTAGATATAGGATCTGTCTCGGAGCTCCTAATCTCTTCTGTACTTGCGTTGATTAGCTGCAGTTTTCCTGCTTTTAGCTCTAGTTGGATTTGTGATTTTATGGACAGCAAAGCTGGCTTCTACGTGACGTGGGTGCTCTGCGTAGTGCTGCGTGACGACGTAGCTGAGCCCCTTGCGTGTCCACCGAGCCTTAGTGTCCTTGGAGAATGGGCTTGGGATTTTCTCCCAGTGCATTTCTAGCTCCAGTATTGAAAGATTTCAAGTGAGAAGTTATTGTAAATTTGCTTTTTTGCCCTTGTAACATTTTGTCTCTTGATTGTTCTTAGTTATTTTAGCAGCAGACATGATGCAGCCATTTTTTAATGAAAATGAAAATCCTAAATGATTTTTCTGGACATGTCTAAGACCCTGAATTTTTGAATAGCGTGAAACAAAGACCAAGAAGAAGAAATACGAATTCAAAATCACTGCAAATGAAGAAAACCTAAGAAGAATTTCTGATTTCCATTTCTAGTGTTTTGGTACATGGAGTTGGAGAGTTTTTAAAAAGTGGAGTATGGCAGTTTTTTTCTAAGGCTAAATTTAGCCGTTGCTTTGGAAAATCAGAGTGGTACAGCTTGTGCCTTATCTTCGTCCGGCCCTTACCCTTTCCACTGCACTTGGACATCTTAAATGGCTTGCTGGGGAGGAGCAGCTTCATATACTCTAGTGGCCCCATTTATTCTAGGAGGGAATTAAGTGACTTCATTTTCTAAGCTTCCTAAAAAATTTAGGAGCCTTCCTAAGCAGCAATTACAGTTCCCTACAGAAATAGTTCAAGTCATGCCTCCTTTTGCCTCATCAGCTCTTCCTGCCAGCGGAGCCAAGGGCTGTAAATGGAATGAGAGATGGCCTCTCGTTCCCAGCCCAAATAGCAACAGGAGGGCACATGTGCACTTGAGCCACAAATAACGCGTTTTAAAATAGCAGATGGTATTTGATGATTGCTTCTTCATTCATTTACCTGCCAAGGCAAAAACTTTTTCTTCTCTTCTGGCAACAAGACCTGAAGTGGATCAGCTCAGGCAATTGTAATGACAAGTTCTCGTGTTGGCAGGTATTACTCATTAGCCGATTTATAGGCGTTCAAACCCCTGCACGCTTTCCGAGGCTTTTCTAGGAAATTTCTTTTGTTTAGCACGTTAAATTTCATGTTTATGCAACAGCGTAACCTGACTGACTTGTTAAACCTTTGTAACTATAGGCACTCCTTTTGTTAAAGTGTGCTGCCAGTCATTTGTGTCCCAAATATCCCATTTCCCTGGTGGAAAGGGGACCCTCTAAAAATGACAGGGAGCAGTATTTTTTATATATATATTTTTTATACCTGACCTCAAGACATTAGTGACGGGAGCGGTATTTTCACTGTGGAGCTCAGTGGCTCAAGAACAGTGACATTGCTGGGAAATTCCAGTTTGTGTCTGTGCAGAGGCCAGACAGTTCCTCAGCTTTGCTGCCCGAGTAGCTGCACGACCTCCTCCCCTGAGCCGGAAGGAGATGGCAGCCAGCCAGGCAAACTCAGAGCTTCTCCCCTGCTTTCCGCACCCGCGCCCGCACCCACGCCCGCGCCACTGGGTTCTGATCATTTTGACCACTCTCATAACTGGAACAGGTGCTCAAACTGCGAATTGGCGTATTAGCCACTGGAGTCCGCTGTGGCTGGCAGAGGTTGCTCAGAGGTCTTGCCCCAGCGTTTGGATGGCCGCATCGATAAACTGGCTTCCAGAAGCTTAAAAGAGAGAATAGCATTCCTTTCCATGAGCGCTAATAATGCCAGGGATACAAGACGAAGGTTCTTGCTTTCAAAAAGCGCACAGTCCAGCCTCTAGTAGGAACGACACGTAGGAAAACAACTACACGTTCATTTGCCAGGTACTGTTAGGGCACAGGGCGAGACGCGGAAGGCTTACCGGGTGTGGTGGAAAGAACAGAGACCTGGAGTGGAACCTGTGTTCACGTCTCTGCCCTGAGACTCACAAGTGGCATGCCCTTGGCTAGGGAACACGTTGAGCCTCCGCTTCCTCATCTGCAACATAAAAAGGAAAATCTTTCTCAGAGTTAATGTGAGGATTGGAAATAGTGCATGTAGAATGTCTGGCTTACTATAGACGTTCAGTAGCTGCTATTATTATTAATAATACTAAGTAATGTGCAAGCCACACTCTGAGGAATAAGTTCACCAGGTGGACATGGGGAGAGGTTAGCATTAGCAAAGGCTGAACGGTTTAAGTGTTATAAAATTCCTGGTGTGTTTGGAGAACAGTGAGTTATGAGAGAGCCCTACTGCTGTGGCCTGGGGTGGTTGGTAAAGATGCTGTGCCACAGCAAAGAGTTTAAGTTTCATTTTGTGGGTCCAAGGGGAGGGATTTAATTTGTTTTTAAAATAAATTATCTGATATAATGCCACAAACTGCCTTATGTTGTATTGCTCAGTGAAAATGAACTAGGTTCCAAGATTTGAAGTGAGTTGTATGAAATCTACAGGAAGCAGTAGGTGCAGCTGGGTGCTGAGAGGCTGAGAAGTCTGGCTAGTAGTTGATTTCCTGGCGCAGACACTTTCTCACTCACAGCAGATGCCCAGACACTCGGGATTCTCCACTTTTACAGCAGCAACTCCCAGCCTTCCTAAACTTAGAACATACTGTGGGTGTCTGATTTCGTGAAATTATGTCTGCCTTTAAAACGTTGATATTGTTTAGAAATTTTGAACGTTTAACTGAATATTAATTTGGGACATTTTTAAGTGAGTCCCTTTGAAGGTTAGGAATCCCTATCAAAGAGAGATGAAAAGATGCCCCATGACTGTGCTGTGTGACACTTCGCATGACAGCCCCAACAGAGAGGCTGGAATGGGGCAAACCCAGCAGAAGAAAAGGGAATGCGAAGCCCCAGCTAAACCTTCGTTGACTCTTGTGCCAGCGATTGACTGGAAACGTTTTTCTGTCTTCTTGATCTTTGTAATACTCAAAGCTATTCTGGGATTATGAGTATATTTTTCTTCATGCTTACATTTTCTAAGACATAAATACTTATATATTCTATGATAATATGTTTTCTAATAACTAAGAACTAGAGTATAACAAGGTAGTTGAATATACTGTTTAATACTGTACTATACCCTATACCTATACTTTTGAGATACAGAAATTAGAGGTATAGGTTTCTTTTTCCATGGTTTAATGCATCAGTAGGGTTTCGTCTCAGCATTTCATATATTGGTTTATAATATCTAGGTAGTACACAGTACCTTTCATCTCGTCATTACCATTTTATCTATGTTTAAAATGCCCTTAGGGGGCTAGAATGAGCACTGCAGTGCTGTACTAGAGTCAGAGACATCAGTGTGAACTCATGGTTATTTTAATATATATACAGTTAGGTACAGAAATACCTATAGATATGTGTGCATACGTGGGTGGTTATACATATATTTCCCAGCTCTGTCCATTGACAGGGTCTAGCAACTGGGATACCCAACACCAGTGAGCACACTCCACACCCAGATCTAGGTTTCTACATACCATTCACTAATAAAAGGAACCAGGGCTTTACTTCTTAGAGAAATTGTCAATTCTAGGGCTGGGACAGGGCAAATAAGAGATTAACCTGGAGCATCTTGTAATGCCAGAAAATTAGGAAGTGCTCAAAAAAAAGAAGGAAAAAGGATGAGGGCATGTCAGAGGGATACAGGAGCCAGCCTGAAAGAGCTCCTGATGGCCAAAGCTGGAACAGTTGAAGCAACAAACTAAGTCACATAGTATTAGATTATGACCCAAAGTTTAAAATATATATACATGATTCCATACTGATATAAGTGATTGACTAAATAAATAAATAGAGGAAGGTAGATCTTCCTTACAGAAGAACTCCAGGTAATAGATGTAGATATTCCCTCATCCATGAAATGGAGCTTAATCCCCTTCTTCTTGAGGGGCTGGACGTGGTGACTTGCTTCCAAAGAATGGAAGAAAAAAAGAATGAAGAAAGAAAAAACAGTAACTTCGCAGTAGAGAAATCTGGCAGATGCTGCCTTAACCACGTGATCAAGGTTAAAGTCACCAGGATAGCACCGTGCACCCTCTGATACTATGTGGTGAGCAGGACAGTCTGACTCTGTGATGTGCCTCCCCAAACCCCATAACCCTGTCTAAAAATCAGAAAACACAGGCAAACCTAAATTGAGGGACATCTACAAAATACCTTTACTGTGTTTTTCAAAAGTCATGAAAATTGAGGGAATACTGAAAAACCGTCACAGATCAGAGAGGAGACTAAAGAAACTTGAAAACTAAATGCAGTGTGGTATCCTGGGTTGGATCCTGTGACAGAAAAAGTGCATTAATGGAAAAAGTGGTATAATCTGATTCAAGCTTTTAATTTAGTCAATAGCCATAACATACCAATGTTAGAGTCTTAGTTTTGACACAGATGCCGTGGATATGTAAGATGCTAATATTAAGGGAAACTGGGTGAAGGGTGTATAGGAACTCTGCTATCTTTGGAGCTTATCTGTAAATCTAAAAAATTATTAAGAAAAAAAATGCCCCCATAGGTACAATAAGATTGATACTCATATCCCCATTTTACAGATGAGAAAACTGAGATGCAGGTCACATAGTAACAGCATTAGATCTAGAGCTATTATCTCTGTTCCAGTGTTCTTCCCACTATGTCATAGCTGCCCCATCTAAAAATGCCACTTCCATAGAAGGGGGAACAGGTAGAAGAGGGTCATGGAGAGAAGCTTTGAATGAGTCGTAAGCCAGACTTGCTGCAAAAGCCATCAGAATTATTTACTTTTTGTTTGGGGTATGGGTACATGTATGTGCATGTCTCGAAGGCGGTGGGAAGGAACTACTGCATGATAGCTGAAAGTGTCCCTACTCATTCCCTGGGACCATGCGGGAAAATAGACTGCTGTGGAGAACCACAGGGGGCTACGGCAGTCACCCGGGACGATATCCCACTTAGCTGAGTAAAGAAAAAGACAACAAAGAGGTAAGATGCCGTGGGAATAGCAGAGATTAGATTAATAGATTAGGTGCAGAGAGCAGTGCAGGTGGGATGGTATTAAAGTATTGCAGATCTGAAGTGGCTGCGTGATCCCAGGTGGTGTTGACAGAGCTCGTGTGGATGGCCCTGGCGTGATTTACACGAGGTAAGGTCTCGTGTGTCCAGGTTGAGTGGGACTCTGTGCATCTGTTGGGGCAGGTGGTTCTTGGGTCATTCTTTAACAGGCACTTGAGGGGAGGAGTCATTCTTTCACCATGGAAGCAGGCTGGGGTCTTAGAGCACTGCTTCTGAGACGTGGCCCCGTGCCAGAAGCATCAGCATTACCTGAGAACTCATTAGAAATGCAACTTCTTGGCCAGGCTTGGTGGCGCATGCCTGTAATCCCAGAACTCTGGGAGGCTGAGGTGGGAGGCTCACTTGAGGCCAGGAGTTCAAGACCACCCTGAGCAATATAGCAGGAACCCATCTCTACAAAAAATAGAAAAATTAGATGGATGTTATAGAGCATGCCTGTAGTCCCAGTTGCTCGGGAGGCTGAGGCAGGAGGATCGTTTGAGCCCAGGAGTTTGAGGTTGCAGTGAGCTATGATGATGCTACTGCACTGTAGCCAGGGCGACAGAACAAGACCCTCTCTCAAAAAAAAAAAGTAAAAAGAAATGCAACTTCTGTCCTCACCCAGACCTACTGGATCAAAAACCACTGAATTAGGACCTAGCAGTCTGCTTTGCGAAGCGCTCCTAAAGTTTGAGGACCACTGGGCTGCAAGAATAGTTACTGGGATGAGCAGAAGCCTGTGACTGGAGCGGAGTGCGGCCCACAGCAGGGGATGAGCACGGCGGGTCTAGCACAGACCCCACCCCCGGAAATGCTGTCTAGACTCAGAGGTTCTGCACGAGGAGTGAAACGGTATTCAGACCCCACCTGCCCTGGTCTTTAGATCTAGGGTTATCATGTGCCTTCTGGGGTGAGGGTGAGCCTTTGGGCTGAGAGTCTCAGCCCAAAACAAGAATTGGATACTTTTTTGTCAGTCAAACAATGTTTTTGGTTTTGCCTTTGCCTGTTCTGCTCTGCTCATCCTTCAGAAAGTTTATAGTTTGCCTGGGGAGGTTACGGCTGACGGCTCAAAGCAATTCTGAGTCTAGTGTTCGTATACACAAAATTGCCCAGCAGATAAACTGTATGTGTGTTTACAGCCTTTTAGTTCTGTCATTTTTCCATGTGAAGCTAAGGTTGTCATGGCAACTAAGTTTTTTGAACTTTACATTGACACCTAGAGAGCTCTTACTAGATGGCTCATTATATTTTTTTTACCAAAGTATTAATATGTATGTGTAAAAATATTTAAGTTTTTGTTTTCTCGGGCAGAATGCTTAGGATGGTTGGCGTCCGTGTCTGGCCTACAGGTTTGTCACCGTCACGTATTCAACAGGAGGCCAGCACATGTCACCAGAACAGACCCCCCTGTGCGTCTCTTGCCTGTCCCCTTGCCCAGAGTTCACTCACTGCAGTTAACACGGAGTGTCTTTTTGTGATGAGGCCGTAGCTGGCTCTTTTGGTGAGACGGATATAGCCTAACACTTCTGGATAAGAACTAAAACCTAAGAACGGCCGGGCAGGAGGCAGAGCTAGAGCAGCTAGCTTTCTCTGCTGGGACCTCTGGAGCCTCCTCGGGCCTTTAACCATCTCTGGGCCTTGTGTGCTCTTGACTTACTTTCTGCGTGGAGCAGTTCTCGAGATGGAGTAGTTCAGTTGCTTCACTTAAACTATCTTGAGGCCATCTGACTTGGAAGCCCTCAAAGCTGAGTCACTGTTGGCTTTGTTTGAAACATGACGGGTGACAGCTGGGGCCAAACTCGTCAGTCCTCTAAATGTACGCATTATTTTTTTCTCTCCCCTACTCCCCTCTGTATTAACCTAAAATACTGCAGAAATTATTTGTTGGTCAACAAAAGAAGGCAAGGATATTTTCACTATTGTTGTAGGCACTCCTGAGTGCTTGGTACATAGTAGGTGCTCAGTAAATATTTGTGCATGAATAAGTGAATCTTTAAAATGTACTTTTTCACTCTAATGTAATCAGAATTTTTTGTGTCTAATTATATTCCCTTTATATCATAATCACACCATATACAATTAAAGCAATATATAGCTCTGAATTTGCCAAGTATTTTACAGTGTTTTAATGATAATAATATAGTTACAAAACCAAAACAAGAATAAAGGTATTGCTTTTGGCTTCCTAGTAATGGAGATGTAAAGACCATCATTTTATCCATAAAGCCAAGTAAGTCTCACGAAACCCGGGAGCTATGCCCTGGCCCTGCGCAGAGGAAAGGAAGTGTGATCAGAAAGTCTCTTTGATTCTCGGTCAGCACAGTGCAACAGACCCGCACTCCCTGGGATGCCGGCTCAGCCATTTCCATTTGAGATGATTTCTTATTTTAATGATCACTCCTTTCCCCTTTTGGGATTGAGAGGCTCAGACATGCTGTTGCGCATGATATGATTTTGTCAAGAGGCGAATAATTGCTTCTGGGTATTTTCGTGAAGTGCTTCTCAGAGCAGCTCAATATCCTGCCAGAGCTCGCTGCATAGCAGCAGGGAGTGCAGTCAGGGAACAAAAGCCAGTAATCTCTGCGGCAAGCATGGAGTCCATGTGGGTCTGGGAGTGTTTTGACCTGGTGATACCACGCTGGGGCCTGGCTCGGTGATGTCAGGGAGTCTGTTTCTGCAGTGGCTGTGGCTGGCGGGCGATGGGCGGGGACAGCGGGCTGGCAGACCGCACTGCAGCACTGCCAGAACAAAGCCGCCTCTGCACACGGCGGCGGGCGTCTGCCTCTGTGCTCGCCTGCCCCTTTGCATCCTTTGCATGCCATGGGACGATTATCTTGGCCACTGGCTCCAGAGTGCTCTGACACCAGTGAAATGGATACTGAAAACTCATTAACAGATGTGAGATTTGTAGGCTTGCAGAAGACATTTGCAGTGGCAGTGGAGGGTTACAATTAAGCCAAGGCGTTCTGATGGGACGCATGAGTGTCTCTGAGTAGGTTCAGAGACCAGTGCCCGCCTGACCTAGCACCACTGGAATAAGCGGGGAGAGTTTATGAATATTTCCCAAAGGGTAACTGCCGGGCTACTTTGAATTGAACTCTCACTGAAAAGTAAAATTCTTGTTCTGCAGCTGGCTTCAAATGCGTGCGTCCTGCGCTCTGCAAGATTCCAGGTTTCTGTTGGAGAGGCGGGGAGTCTGGAGTAAGGACACCTGTGCCACCTCTGCAGACACCTTGTGTTTTCCACGAGTGGTCACAGAGAGCAGACAGCCACGTACAGCATTTGTTCAGTTGTCTCCCCACTGGCTGGCGACTGCCCCTGAGTAAGACACTTGGGGGCAGGATCCCCCAGCTTGCCCATAAGTACCCATCCCTGTGTGTGAAGTTGGAACAGAGGTGTCATTTTTCACTTTGAGAGGGGAAGGATTTTTCTTTTAGTGCCGTTCCTGGAAAGAATTCGTTAGAAAATCATATCAGGATTCTTGAAAAGCAGTCTTCCTCTTACTTCTGTGGTTTAGTAAAGTAAAATCAATTTGATATTAAGTCAGTACTGAAAATTTTCCTGTTGAGTGGATATTTACTGTCCTTTTACTACAGCTGAGATTTCTGATGCTTGTGTATCTGCTCTTTCCAGAACCTTTCCTTCCTCTTACCACGTGTGGCTAAACTCTTGGTCCCAGCACAGACAAGGTATCTCCAGATGCCTCAGTTTTCTCATCTATAAAATGAGGATGATAACAGCACCTGCCTCACGTGACTGTTGTGAAGAGTAAATGAGCCGATGTCTGTTAAGTGACGCAGACGGTGCCCGGCGTGTAGGAAGTGCTCCGTGGTAGCTCTGTCCGTCGTTTTCTCTCCTGTGGAGTCAGGGAGCTAGGCTCCCTGGTCCCGGGATTTGCAGTCAGGATGGCAAGGAATGCTGTTAACGTATTTCCTTCCCGGGTCGCCCCTTTTCGTGATTCAGATGACTGTACTTGAAAATAGTTATGCCCTTAGCAGTTTGAGGAGAAATATGTTGTCACAGCTGTTCAGTCAGTTTCTACAGACATTTAACTCATTTGTCTCAAGATGATGAGGATGATGGCTAGAACGCTTACCTAGGACTTACCATATTCTTAACAGCTCTCTGGGGTAAGTATAATTACCATCCTCATTTAAGAGGTGGGGAAACTGAGGCCCCAAAAGCTTCGCTCCAAGTTCAGAATTATGTAACTATTCTATGGCAGAGCCAGGGCCCCTAACAACTGTTCACTGTCTGGTTCCCGCCCACCTCGCCAGCGTCTGCTCTTCCCGCCGTCCCTTCCCTTCTCCTTGAGCGTCCTGCCTCAAGGCCTTTGCATTTGCTGTTACCTTGCCCCAGTTGTTGGCATGTCATTCTGGATAAACTCAAGTGTCACCTTCTCTGACTTATTAAATTCCACTCCTGCCACGTCTCTCCTCGTCATGTTATCCTGCCCTCTCATCCCGATCTGACTGTGCCAGAGCAGGAAGACGCCTTTTCTCTCCTATTCGCTATTAATTATCTGGCATAGTATTCATTAAAATTTGTTAAATGGGCATAATTTAACATAATTTGTTAAATTAGCATAGGCGCTAATGATTTTAATAATGGTTTTAGCTCTGATTTACACACAGGTCACCTAACTCTGGTGTGTGTGCACATGTGGGTGTAACGCGTGAATGTGGCGACACATACGTTCTTATCTCCGTGAAGTGGTGCAGAATCACAAACCCTTTCCCTCTCAGTTGGTCCTGGCTGCAACAGTAATGCCCTGTGGTTTTGAAGCACTTCTTTGTGTTTGTCTCTGATTGAGACATGTGTTAAAAGGAATGTGTAAGAGTCTCAGGCAGTGAATGATACTGATCCTAAAATGAATTATAAAAGCTAGAGCCTGGGTCAGGAGGTAAAATTTAAGGTTTTTGTTTTGTTTTATTTTGTTTTTATAAAAACACAGGGTTTGGGTAAAACAGGTAGTACGTACGTTTTTTGGTTTGTTTGATAAATCCTCCTTTCCTGCAATGGCTGCTTTCTTCTACTAACTTAAATTGTATTCATTTCGTGTGTGTGCTCTAGGGGCCCCTCCACCAGATCGCGGGTCAAGGTTTCCATTGGGGAATTTGACAAAGAAATGGGGTGGCAGGAACCTGAAACCTGGATCTTTGACAAAAAGGGATTTACTGTCCTTTATCTGAGAACTTTGGGCTGCGGTAGATGCTACTGTCTTGTGTGAGCTGTGACTCGCGGCTGTGCTGGGGAAGTCTGGCCTGACAGACCTCTGTGATCCGGTGACATTGCCGGGAGTCTTTGGATGCCCCTCCTGCACGCGTGGACGGGCCACATGTTAGCTGCGTTTCTTCCAGAACACAACCTCACTCTTAACTCCCGCTCTGCCCTAGATAACCAGTTCAGGATGTCCATCCTGGAGCGGCTGGAGCAGATGGAAAGGAGGATGGCTGAGATGACAGGGTCCCAGCAGCACAGACAGGCGAGCGGAGGAGGCAGCAGTGGCAGCGGCAGTGGCGGCGGGAACGGCGGCAGTCAAGCCCAGGTGGGAGTCTGTGCAGGTGATCATGTCGTTTTGTCCAGCGTCTCAGGCACCGGTGAGGCGGTGGGTCACGGTCCCTTCTCTGCTGCTGATCTCCCTGCTGGGTTTGGGCAGAGCGCCCAGGGAGCACTGTAGACTGCCTGTGCTTCTCGGTATTAAGACCTGCGTAATATGAAAGAATTCCAGCCCCCCTGGAACGTGGGGCTTCTCACTTGTGTGCCGCCCTAATCTTTAAATCATTTTTACTTATCTCAGAATTCACTGCTGTTACCTGGCAGTGGCAGTTGAGGGCATCCGATTAGAAAAATAGAGGCCAGATGGTGACTCAGATCTGCTAGGGCTCAGAATTAAATTAGAATCTCCCTACTTTGTATTTTATCCCTATCTTAAGTATAAGTGTAAAACATAATCGAATTCAGTAATTCATAAGCCTTTTATAAACCCAAAAAAGGTCAATATGGAAAGGGCCCAGAGAAACTGTTCATGTAATTACACAATATAGAATGACTTTATACATTATAGCATCTTTCACATGCTTTTTCATGAATTCTATGAAGAATGTATTATATTCCCAAGAATAGGGAAATTACCAGATATTGTCTCAGCATCCCATTGGCCTTAAAGGCTTTAGAGAAGTTCATTTTGGGAAAGTCTCCCAGGCACAAATTGTTTTACCAGAGACCCCAGAGATAAATTTAAACAAGCTGGTAGTATTTCTCACCTCCACTACCGAGTTGTTTCCTAAAAACCTCAAATATCAAGTGTTAGTAATATTTTTAATAATAACAGTAGATGGAAATAAAGCATAGTATATACCACACCCAAAAATGTAACCTCCTTTCTCCTTGAATTTTTCTTCTTATTTCTCCCATCTTCAGAAATCAATGGAAAAGACTTGGGACACAGTAAAAGGCCAAGACAGGCTTCTTTTCCACCCGACACTACTAAGCTTTATAAAAGAAATAATCACTGTTTAATACACCTCATGGCTAAAATAAGAGATCCCCATAAAATACTTTTCCTTTCACCAACAAAGGTTGCTTGAAGGGAACGGTATGTAATGTCATTTTAAAACTCAACCATTCAGCACCCGGCCTGTTAGAATCCCTTCCCATGTTAACTGCTATTGCATATTCTTTCATCAGTTTAAATTGGCTTCGATAAATGTCTGTGTCTGCCATGTATGATAGAGATGTGACCATTTTTGTTTAATACAAGAAAATGCCCTCCTTGTTCACTGTCCGGTGAGTTCCGTGTCTGTGCGGCATGTGTAGAATGGCTCTCCGGGGCCCTCTGAGTCAAGGCCGGGTCGTGTCATGTTGGCGTCACCCAGCTGCGCCCCTTGGAGGCCTTCCCACACTCTGATGAGGATGGCAGTACGTCCATCATCTGCCCTTCATTTCTGGAGGCATTTCCCCCAGATTTAAAGATTCAAAGCCATGAGGAACAACAGTATTTCTATAGTAGTTGTAATTTGTGGAGTTTATTGCCAAAAAATTATTATTTTTTAAAATAACACCAAAAATGTGAATTAGGCTAGAAGTGCCATTTATTTGGGGGGAGTGTTAAAAATAAAACAGCTATCACAGAGACTCACATAAACTGTTGAGGTTACTAACTTTGGTTTATTTTTCTTCCATTACAACCAATTGACAAGAAGAAAGCCATGTGAATTTCTCTTTCCTATACTCTTTATTGTTATTAATAACACTCAAGATCTCTGATGTTTTCCCCAGCATCCTTTGTACTTTATATGAAGGACTGGATTATTAACCACATACTTTTAAGCATTTATTTAGGGGGAAAAATCCACATCTAAGTGGCTTAGCTCTCCTTCAGAAGCAGCAGGCAAGGCAGTGATGCCCAGATCCCCCGGCGGGGACACCAGGAGAGCTACTCTGCTCTGCTCGGTCACAACAGATTTCCGCCTGCTATGTTTATTTCAACTGGGAGGCTGGAGCCACTTTTTTAATGCAGTAGACACTTTCCCTGAGACGGGTCAGCAGGTCAGCATGAAGTTCGTAATCCAAGTGTCAGGCGTAACAGACAGTCGCTGTGTTCCTAGAGCTGGGGGAAATTGTGTTGCACCACGACTTGAGAGCATCACTGCTGAGCCGAAACTAAGCACATGCTCTTCTCTGTTTCATGATGTTTCTTGATTTTCGGTGCTTTTCATTTTGAGTTGCTAATCCGAAAGCATTTGGTGCCCTGACATCAAAAAATGCCGACTTGGTGGGGGGACTTTAGTCCTGAGGTCTAAACGTACTTTTTCACGGTAGTGTGCTTCTGGGACCGGGACCTTGGGGAGCTGCTTCGAGAGCCGCGTGGTCGTTGTGTGTGAGAAGATGATGAGCCGAGCCTGCTGGGCAAAGTCCAAGCACTTGATCCACTCAAAGACGTTCCGTGGAATGACCCTCTTACACCTGGCTGCCGCCCAGGGTTACGCCACCCTGATCCAGACCCTCATCAAGTGGCGGTAAGGCTGCGGCGCAGATGACTTGGGCTTGTCCTCGCTCATCAACGTGCACATTCTTCTTGAGCGTCTCCACCAGTGGGGAAAAATCTGGCCATGCGATCAGCAGTATAGCCTGTGAGCAAAGGGCTTTCTCCAAGGACAGTTTCCAAGGCATTTTTATGTGCTTCTGCCCAAGAAATACTGAACGCTATACCAACTTATTGTTGGACTTTTTATTTCTTTTGAACTCTTGGCCAAACAGAGAGTCCAGACTACCCTAGAAATCTGGGACTCTATTTCTTTACATCAGGGATGTTAGATGCCCAGTTTAGTTTTTATCTTTATGGGGTTTTATAATATTCTGATCTTTCCTTTTAACATTGATTACTAGTGCGGTAATTTCCGGTGCTATCTCTTACAGCACAAAGCATGCGGATAGCATCGATTTGGAACTGGAAGTCGACCCCTTGAATGTGGACCACTTCTCCTGTACTCCTCTGGTAAGGAATAGGTTCACGTAGTCCCCTAACCGGTTTTCTAGCCTGGCTTTGAGATTTATCAGAGATGCTGTATAATAGTAATGTTTTATGGCCCCACTGAGATTGCCAGCAAGGTCAAGGTCGTCAACTGGCAGCAGTGGCAAAAGTAAAATATGGTTTTAATTTCTGATTGAGAAAGCTTGCTTTGTCATCTTGTCTTTCAGATGTGGGCCTGTGCCCTCGGGCACCTGGAAGCTGCTGTCGTGCTGTACAAGTGGGACCGCCGGGCCATCTCCATTCCCGACTCTCTAGGAAGACTGCCTTTGGGAATTGCCAGGTCAAGGGGTCATGTGAAATTAGCAGAATGTCTGGAGCACCTGCAGAGAGATGAGCAGGCTCAGCTGGGACAGAACCCCAGAATCCACTGTCCTCCAAGTGAGGAGCCTCCTACAGATAGTTGGATGGCGCAGTGGCACAGCGAAGCCATTAACTCTCCAGAAATACCCAAGGGAGTCACTGTCATTGCCAGTACCAATCCAGGTAAGAATTCAAAATTATTACATCTCAGAGCTTGACAGATCTCCCATTCGCTTTCATGCGGCTGCCCTCAGAAAAGTCCAAAAGATACTCAAATACATTTAAGATATATTTTTTAATGTTTCTGATTTTCCTTTAAGAATGCCTAGTGCCCCACCTCCCAAAAATATAGAAAGCAGCAAAAGTTCTATGTTCATGCAAGAAATATAAATTTTTGAAGCATTATCTGAATGCAGTATATGCTACTGGGGAATAATTAAATATTAGGGACATGTCTTGAGTTCCGGCTTTGCACTTTATGTCTCTCAGGCATAGAGAAAGTATTAATTTTTTAGGATTCCTAATTTTATCACCTGTCCTGACTATCCTTTCTACTGTACTTTTCAGAGCTGAGAAGACCTCGGTCTGAACCCTCTAATTACTACAGCAGTGAGAGCCACAAAGATTATCCGGCTCCCAAAAAGCATAAATTGAACCCTGAGTACTTCCAGGCAAGGCAGGAGAAGCTGCTTTCCACTGCACTGAGTCTGGAACAGCCAAATATCAGGAAGCAAAGCCCTAGTTCTAAGCAGCCTGTCCCTGAGACAGTCAGCCCCAGTGAAGGAGTGAGGGACTACAGCCGGGAACTCTCCCCTCCCACTCCAGAGACTGCAGGATTCCAAGCCTCTGGATCTCAGCCTGTAGGAAAGTGGAATGCCAAAGATCTTTACATTGGTGTGTCTACAGTACAGGTGACTGGAAATCCGAAGGGGACCAGTGTAGGAAAGGATGCAGCACCTTCACAGGTGCGTCCACGGGAACCAATGAGTGTCCTGATGATGGCTAGCAGAGAGGTGGTGAACACAGAGATGGGGGCCTACCGGGATAGTGCAGAAAACGAAGAGTGCTCGCAACCCATGGATGACATCCAGGTGAGCCGTGGCGAGGTAAGCCCGCAGAGGCTGCCGGCGCGTCAGAGTTGCCTCTAACCCTGCGGTCCATTTCTGAAGGTCATGTCATTTTCTCCCCAGGGAAGCATTAGTAGTCTGGTTTTGTGCATAAGGTGTCGGAGTGTCTTTCTTCTTTGGGCCCACATTGTCACTCAGTGAGTCAGGCGCTGCGAATAGGGCCTTCCCCCTTTGCACCAGGTCCTCAGAACTTACCCACCACTCTACACGAAGTTGTCTGCTTCCTCTTGGCATTCATGTTGACTGACATCACTGTTTTAAGTACTAGTTAGAATAGAGTCAAGGCCCTAAAAACAGCTGGAACAGAAAGCGTGTGGATGATTTTGAATTTTCTATGTAACTTTGATCAGCATAACCATCAACTAGCCATTGAAAGGGCATATATGACATGAGGCTCTCATGAGATGCAGGGAAATATCCCTAAATCTGATAGTTGACTGCCCTTATAATAAATCTAGAAAATCCAAAATTGTTTTAGGGCACTCAACTTGTCATAGACTAAGAGAATACGTACTGAAGCAAACTCGACGTTAGGCTATTAAGCAAATACCATTAATTAAAATATATAGGCAAAGACCAAAAGAGCAACCTAAAAACTTATGTTTGACTTCCTCTCTTTCCAGCTCCCCATTGATATAACTCAAAACATATGTAAAAGGAAAAACTCCCACTAGAAATTCAGCAGGGCACCCACGCCTGTAGAAGTGATGTGATGAGAGGGTGGTGCGTGGAGGAGATTGGTATCCCGGCAGCATGCCTAGGGAGAGGTCTGACTTCTGAGCCACTCCTGCACATTGCACCCCACTGGACCCTTCCTGCCAGCCCGTGCTGTTTGGCACAGGATGGGAAGCGTGTGTGCTCACCGGTGTGCTCCCATTCCTGGTGAAGGCCCCACTGCTGATCTACCAACCGCCGCAGTCATGGGCAGGCAGGCCTGCCAAGAAAAATCAAATGATATTTTAAGCAAGGGGCTGGTAAATTTCTTCTGTAAAAGGCCAAATAGTGAACATTTTTAGGCCTTGTGGGCCACATAGACTTTGTCATAACTATTTAATCTGAACGAATAGCACAAAAGCAGCTTTAGATAATACTAAATGAATGGGTGTTGCTGCATTCCAATAAAACTTTACGCAGTAGACAACTGTCTGGATTCCACCTGCCATAGTTTGCCAAACCCTGTTTTAGATACTTCCTGATAGAACCCAAGTCAGATCTCAATACTGAGCAATCTAGAAGTGTCTTTACAAATATAAACATATAACAATAAATCTGACCATAATGAAAATCAGCAGCTCAAAAGAGGGCAACCCAGTTGAACATCTAGAACAGCGCTGTGCCCTGGACCTTTCTGCAGTGATGTGAATGTGCTATGTCTGCTCTGGCCACTGTGGAAGCCACCAGCCACATGTGGCATTATTGAGTGCTTGAAATGTGGCTAGTGCAGCTCAGAAACTGAGTTTCTAACTTTATTTAATTAAATTTAAATAGCCATTGGATAGCACAGCCTCATAGCAATTGGGCTTCACTGAAATAGAGTTGGTACTAGAAAATAATCTTTAAAAAAATCTACTTTATATTTTCACTGAGCCTTAAAACAACAATATTTTGCTAAATTAAGAACATATCTATGAAAAAAAGCATCAGTCTAAAGAATTATTTTAGCCAAATGAAAAAACAGCAATTAAAAATAATGAAATAATTTAAGAAATGGTAAGACGGAGTTATTAGAGAAGTGAACAATCTAATCATTAAAACTGATATCTGCATAATCATTGATAGTGTGGTTGTATGTAAAAGGCAATTTTAGGAAGGGATTTTTTTTTAAGAGAAGAGGAATAATGTTTAACAATAACCTGGTACTAAAATTCTAAACTATTTTAACAAAACCAGGGAGCTAGTGAAATGAAAACAGTAAAAGTATATTAAAGCAGCTCTCGTTCAGAGAAGATAATAGATTCTGTTCCACTCATGAAGTGGATAGATAAGTACTGTGTAGGCTGCAGTATGCTAGTTAGAAATGTTAAATTAGTATATAAGCTAGAGTGAAAACAGAATTTCTAAGTCATTGAAAGAAGAGAAAGAAAATTTGGCCCATTTAGAAAAAGTTCTAAGATGACAAAGGAAAAAGCAACAACAAAAATAATAAACAGAGAACATAATATTGTAGGAATATTTTCAAATGTGTCTCATTCATGCATTAGTAATAATTCCATTAAAAATCAGATTCTTAAATTCAGTAAAAAAGAAAGCAAAGTATAGGATATGCTGCTTGTAAGAGACACAACTAAAATGAATCATAAAGAATGGAAAACAAAGTGATGAGTAAAACTAGAAGAGACAAATGAATATAAAAAGAAAAAAGATAGGCACATTATATCTAATTTATCAAGAAGATATGACAGTTACAAACTGGTGTGTACCTAGCAACATCACCTCTAAATATTAAAGCAAAAACTAGTAAATACAAAGAAATGTGGAGCCATAATCATGGTGTGACACTAACACACCTGTCTCAGAATTTGTCAGATCAAGTAGGTGTGAAAAGGATATTAAAAATATGAATAGTACAGTTAGAAAGCTTGATTTAATATGTATTTAATATATATGATATATTTAACATGTGATATTCTTATATGTACTTATATAGATACATGTAATTAATACACACAGCAACACATAATTATTCTTTTCAGATACCTAAGACAAATTTATGAAAATTGCTCATAAACTAGGACACAAAGAGAATTTCAATAAAAACTCAAAGCTACACATTTAAAGGCTATCTTTTCTGACCACAATCCAAAAAATTCAAAAGTGAATGACATGATTCTTTAGGTCCAAGTGCTGAGAATGTTACTTGCTTTAAAGTCATTTAAATTTCATTGCCTTTTGCAACCATCACAATAAAAAAATGAGCTTCTTGGTATTCCACAGTGTTGTACTTATTAGATTGTTCTTACATTGATATGTGTTTATAAGATAAAGATTTGGGGGAATGACTATGGAATGATAACCCTCAGGCTTGAGAAATTCCACTTTGCTTTTAATAAAATATTTGAGTACCTTCATGGAAAAAGAATAAAGGCAGGATTTCCTGTGGTTTGAGTCACAAATCAAGAGAGCCAGTATAGAAGGAAAAGAAAAACTGCAATATTTTACCCTCACATTTTTTTCTTTTTATTCCTATTATAAAAAAAAAATTATTCTTCAATGAAGATTTAGAAGGTTATCCAAGATAAGCAAAGTTAACAGCTTTGCTGAGGTAAAATTTACATACTATAAAGTTCAGCAATTTTAAGTGCTCTGTGAGATGAGTTTTGGTAAATTTATACACTGTGTAGTTATTGCCACAGTCCCTTTTAGAACACTTCCACCACCCAGGAGTCCCTTGTGCTTGTTTGTGGTCCATCTCCACTCCTTCCCCAGCTCTAGGCAAGCATGGGTCTGATTTCTATCCCCACAAGCCAGAGTTTTGCTTTTTCTAGAAATTTCATATAAGTGGAATCATACAATACATGGTCTTCTGTGTCTGGCTTCTTTCACTTAGTGTAATGTTTTTGAGGTTCATTCATGTTGCGTTTGGTCAGCTTTGTGTAGCTCCTTTCAGAACATTTTTGATTCACTGAAAGACCTAAACTGCTGTATTTCAATTACCATTTTTTAAGAGATATGCAAGGAAATTTTTTTGAAATGAGGTCATATCTCTGATTCTGATTAAAAATATCTTAATTCAGGGGCAGGTGCGGTGGCTCACGCCTGTAATCCTAGCACTGTGGGAGGCCGAGGCAGGCGGATGGCTCGAGGTCAGGAGTTCGAAACCAGCCTGAGCAAGAGTGAGACCCGGTCTCTACTATAAATAGAAAGAAATTAATTGGCCAACTAATATATATAGAAAAAATTAGCTGGGCATGGTGGCGTATGTCTGTAGTCCCAGCTACTCGGGAGGCTGAGGCAGCAGGATCACCTGAGCCCAGGAGTTTGAGGTTGCTGTGAGCTAGGCTGATGCCACGGCACTCACTCTAGCCTGGGCAACAAAGTGAGACTCCGTCTCAAAAAAATAAAAAAAAATCTTAATTCAGACCAGTTTTAAGGATTTTTAATTGTATCTGTTAGGAATATTTGTATCTGTTAGGAATGTATTTTCGGTGCAAGTACCAGCAACCTAACCACACTGGGTTAATGCAGAATGATTTATTTTTTTCACATGACAAGAAGTTCATAGGCTCATTTGCTCAGTGATGCCATCAGGGACTGAGGGTTTCTTTTCTAGTTTTCTGTTCTTTTTGGCTTTCCTCTTGTGCGTGTTGCTTTACATGTGGCTGCTCAAGCTTGTCTGTAGTCAAGGCAGGAAGAAGAGAGGAAAGGGCGTGCCAGGTGCATTGATACCTTTTCCTCAGAAAAGCAGAAGCTTGGCCCAAAACCCTCCAGGCAGACTTCTGCATAGTCTTATTGTCTGGAAGTGGGTCACTTACCTTCCCTCGAGCGTACAGAAGGTAGGAAATCAAGAAAAGGATTGTCACCATTGGCTTAGATCAGGCATGATCTGTCCCCTGGGGCTTGTCTCATTGCTGCCCTACAAGACAAATTTTCTAGGCAAGGCAAAAGGGGGCAGGTGAGTACTGGTTAGGCAACTCATAATGTCACCACATTTTGTTACAACTTACTCTAGAACTGCCCAGCCGTGGTATCATGAATTGGTTGGTCCTAACTGGGAGTAGAGAGTAGCCACAAGCCAGAATTCTCTAAGGCTTGACTAAAAGTTTTTGGCCAAACCATGATTTGGAGATAATAAGGTGTCAGGATCTCAGCATATTTGGGTGAATTGTGTTACAACCTTCAGATGACACTCGAGTGCATTGGACTGTGGTGTAAGCCTGCCCCCACGCTCTGTGTGTTTCCTTCCAGTGTGGGGGAGGAGAGGAAGACCTAGACAACTTCTGTGTTTCCTTTCTAACCTGAGTGTTCTGTGAACTTCTGATTCCAGGTGAACATGATGACCTTGGCAGAACACATTATTGAAGCCACCCCTGAACGAATCAAGCAGGAGAATTTTGTGCCCATGGAGGCCTCAGGATTGGAAAGGACAGGGCCTGCCACCATTAGCAGTACAATGAGCTGGCTGGCCAGTTACCTTGCTGATGCGGATCGTCTGCCAAATGCTGCCCAGATCAGGTCAGTAAAACTCCGGGGGTCACGACAAGGCAAATTCCTGGATGTAGTTGGAGGCAGGGGGGTGCTCTGATTGTATTTGATGAATGCTACCAAGGAAGGAAGAAAGCACTGCGATGAGTCCCATTCTGCGTACAAGGCCCAGCTCGTGTCCTTACCTCTCATGTTATTTTTTCCCCCCAATATCAGAGCTTGTAAGATAAGCCTGTATCATCATGTTTTCCCCCCAATTCTATTGAAGTCTCACAAGAGCTGGTTAGCGTACTTAGTGCGTTTAGTATTTAGCACAGTACTAAACTCATAATAGACACTGAATATGAATTTATTTAATTGGAGGACAATTAAAGTACTGAGTATGTTTAGCAGCTTACCTAACTGAATGAAGGCGTATTCTTAATCACCTACAGCAGCCCTGGTAGATACCATCTCGTCTCATTAATTAATATAATGGATTGTGCAAATCAATCATTCATCTCTCTCTCTCCCTTTTCTCCTGTTGTTTCAGAAGTGCATATAATGAGCCTCTCACCCCTTCTTCTAATACCAGCCTGAGCCCTGTAGGCTCTCCTGTCAGTGAAATAGCTTTCGAGAAACCTAACCTGCCCTCAGCAGCGGACTGGTCAGAATTCCTAAGCGCATCTACCAGTGAGAAGGTTGAGAATGAGTTTGCTCAGCTGACTCTGTCTGACCATGAGCAGAGGGAGCTCTACGAAGCTGCCAGGCTTGTCCAGACAGCTTTCCGGAAATACAAGGTACCATAGAACCGAATCTTGGTGTGACAATCTTAAGATCCGGGGGCACAGATGAAAGAGTCGTTCAAACTAAAACATACACTATTTCTTTTTTTCCTCTGAATTTACAGAATTTTTTGGGTAGTCTCCAATTTATTAACATTCAGTATATAAGACATCTGTGTGAATATTTGCTTTGTGAAAAATTTTTTATTGTAAAATATTCATAACATAAAATGTGCCATTTTAGTCATTTTTAAGCATATAATTCAGGGGCATTAAGTACATTCACAATGTGCAACTATCACTGCTATCCATTTCCAGAACTTTTTCGTTATCCCAGATCATTTTTTAAACAGTTAAAAATGAAATTAGAACCAAATGTTTGCAGAGTTCATAAAGCAACTCCATAGAACAATTTAAAAAGTATGGTCTCTCCAGTTATCTGAAGCACAGAGAATCAACTGGCTGGGACAAGTGCGTCTGTGGGTGGTTAGGGCAGGAATGAGGCTCTCCTGGCACGGAAAAGTGCTGATTCTTCTACCTTGCTGCCCTGAGTAGCAGCATCTTTTTATGATTCTAGTCTCTTTAAAGACAATTTCATGAGTTTATAGAGGTTTTTTTTTAATTATTATGTTACATTAAATTATTAATAGTTTTCAGAAGCTTTAGTAAATTAAACTATTGGTAGTGTGATGGCAGCATCTCAACTTATTGTAGGTAATGATATTGGATGTCTATTATTTAGTTAATATAAAGCAAGTCAACACCTCAACTACAAGGAATTTATGACCTAGAGTAGGGATTTCCACCTGGAGGCCTGGGGACTGACTATGGGCAGCCCCTGAACTGCTGAAATTACACATGGTAAAGCTTTCACACGTAGGTTTTTCGTGGGGAGAGGATCCATAGCCTTCTGGAAATTCTCAGAGAAGCCTTTGACCTCCCTACCCCCCAAAGAGGTGTTAAAAGCCATTAATCATTGATATAAAAGTAAAATGCTTGGTGGTATCTTAAGAAAGACAGTTGAAATCTGGCAAGACAAATAGTACAATACCTAATTTTTAAAATAATTTTAAAGTGGATATTTCTTAGGCCTCCTAACATTCAAATATCATGGTTTATTTAGAAATAAGAATAGTTGGAGATTTATTCTAGAAATTTGTTTTTTCCTAATTTATATTTTAGTTAATTATCTATGTATTTTGGTAACCTTAGAGTCTCAGTTCTGAGAAAGTTGCATTAAATGAGTAGTAATTCCATTTAAGTTTTAAGAAAGCTGACACTTCTTATATTAAATCATTACTGATTTTTTCTTTCCTTCACTTTACTCTTAAGGGACGACCCTTGCGGGAACAGCAAGAAGTAGCTGCTGCTGTCATTCAGCGTTGTTACAGAAAATATAAACAGGTAAACCACAGTTCTGTTGTGCCACAGAAGGAAACTGTGCTTCGCCCAAGCCACACCAGGCCACTGAGGATTCCGATGTGCAGTTTGGCTGCAGAGCAGTACATTCAGTAGCTCGTCACAAAGAATTCAAATTGCCTTGATTAAAAACCAGAGGAAGCTATTCAAGAGGCTGAGGCAGTAAGATTGCTTGAGCCCAGGAGTTCCAGTCCAGCCTGGGCAGCATAATTGAGACTCTGTCTCTAAAAAAAACCAAAAAGCAAAACATAAAACAAAAAAAAGGAACACAAAACCATCTGTTGTTAAACTTGTGCCATGAAGGAATCTTTGTTCAAATTTTTGTATTATCACCTTTTAGTATTATCACCTACTTGAGAAACAGGTCTGATACACAGAAATTGGAAAAAGAAAATACTACCCATTACCTTTGACATTGAATTATATAAGTTGTGTAATCACTGGCCATTTACCTTTCAGCTTCTTCTTATCTGTTTTAAAATGAGGAATTGTAAAACTCTTTGACAATCTTAAGCTCAGGATATCTTAAAGTACTTTTTCATTCCTTCATTAAGAGGTGGAAGAAGAATGTCTAAGTACTCTTTCACGTGGTGTTATTGTTTCCGAAACAACTCACAGTGTTAAAAAAACTACAGTCAGGTGGAAAATGGACCTGCTGTTATTTAGCACCTTGCACGTACTAGATCTTTCAGGCATACCATCTCATTACGCCTTACAAGTATTTGAAGTAAACAGTTTTATTTCCATTTCACAGATGAAGAAGCTGAGGCTCAGAGAAATTAAGTAAATATTAAGTCTGTCTAATCATCACAGTGGTTTTAAAATATTTAAAATTGCCTACTTGAGTTTTGACTGGTTTGTATGATAACATTTCAGTCCTGTCAGCAGATTCTTCAGCTTTGTATTAGGTTGTGCTTTAGGCAGTTTCAAATTTTTATTTCCAGAATAATAAATGCTAAGATGTATAACAGTTACATAGATTTTTGGGATTATGTTCTCTAGTCATGATCTAGGGCTTGCTTCGATTTCTGATATGGGTTGCCATTTTCTCAAGCTTCTCTAGGATTAAGCCCTATTATTGGTGGGGATGGGGGGAAGAGACGTCTTTAGTTTATAGCCAGTTGAGTTCACGATCCCAGAAAATGAAGGTTTATTGTGCAAACGCTGACACCGCAGTACCTGTAGCTCTGCAGCAGGGACCTGTACTGGCTTCCGTTGGGAGAGCAGGCTTCGTATGAGCACAGTGATACAGAATCCAGGTTCCAAGTCTGTGGTTATAACAGGTATTTATTCCAAAATATGAGTTTGTTTTTTAAAAAAAAAAAATCCCCTCCCAAAGATATGTTATCTACAGCTAGGAAGATGGAAGGCATTATTTTTGGAATTATTGACAATTATAAAGCAAATACCTTGGAAAACGGAAGGCATTAATATAGCCAGGTTGCTTTCTTTTTTTTTATTTTTTGGTTGGGAGTTTTATTGATTCTGGTTTTTTCATTATATTCAGCAATCTAACAATAATCTTGTATTTTCTGTTTCTCCCCCAAGCTGACATGGATAGCCTTGAAGGTAATGATACACCCAAGTCCTCTCACAAACCATTCCACCAGAGTCACAAACTTCACACCCATCACCAACCACAGGGAGGGGCCATTCAGATGGCACGGTCATGAAATAAACATGCTCCCCTTGCCAGGCCACCTAACCACAGTGCATCCATCCTCTGGGGACCACGTGGTTATGCAGTTGGAGTGGGTTTTGACATTAATAGTAATCGGACATTTTCTTGGCTAGTGTCAATCCACCCAAGCCAATTTCTGTGAGCCCAGTGGCCGCCAAGTAAATATCCCTTTTTCATGATGTGCTTCACTGTGGCCTGATGGGTCTGAATGTGCAGTGCGTACAGGTCTAGATGATGAAAACCACAGAAGCGCTGTAGGATACAGTGTTCTTGTTCTCTTGAGAGACTTTCAGACCAGTGAGAATAGAAAGCAGGTCAGATAAGACTAGAGAAGGTTCTTACAGAACAGTCCTATTTCTTGGACATTGTGAGAAGTCAGTTTCCCTCCCTCATTCCACCTCATACATCCAGAGATAGAGTTAGGCATATACAGGGATTTTCTGAGGAATATTTTTCCTTGCAATGGTAAGTTGCCTTCTTGCAAGCAAAGGGCCTCATTGTGACTTCTTGTCCCAAGAGTCATATTCTACTTCATCAGAAATTTGGACATAGCATTTTTAAGCCATGGAGAGGGCTGTATTTTTAGTGCCGAGAAACTGATGTGGAAGAGAATCTATTCTCCTGTGACTTCATTCCTTACTTGTATAGCTCTGCAGCAGGCTGGGTAGGGGCTGCTGGCACTGGGTCCTGAGCAGTCCCCAACTCTGTGGCAACCTTCCAGTTTCATTGCTTCACCGCTGCGTGGGTCTTATGAGTGTTAATCTTTTACAGGTTAAAGTGGCTTAAAGGTGTCAGCGTTTCATGATAAGCCTTGTATTTGGGACCTTGCAACTCAGTCTGAAACTTTTCCTGTGGAGTGACAGTTAGAAATTAGGTGCTGACTGTTTAGTAATTTTGTTTACGATGCAAATTGGGAACCATAAAAAAGATTTAAAATGTTTTAAAATTGGATAGTAAATATTAATCTTAAACACTTAGAATTACTTCCTAAGTGTTTTTAGACTCAAATGTCTAAGTTTATTGCTATTAATTTTTTTTTCATGAAGGGTAAAATATTATTTGTTATTTTGTTATTTTGGGGGAAAAGCACATATAAAGCAATGTATTATCTGAAGGCAACCCTTAAAGTAGTATTTTACATTTTGGAAAGGTAAGTGTAAAGATTCCTAGTTTGACTCTTTTGTGATTAAACCCAGAACAGAGAATGTAATACAAAAGGGGGAAGCGGTCTCTCTTCTTCCCTTCCCCTGTAAACTCAAAGGACACATGAACGTGTTGGCTCCTGTTGTTACTGTGTTGCTTATTCTTGTTTCCCCTGCAGTATGCACTTTATAAAAAGATGACACAGGCTGCCATCCTTATCCAGAGCAAATTCCGAAGTTATTATGAACAAAAAAAATTTCAGCAGAGCCGACGGGCTGCTGTGCTGATCCAGAAGTATTATCGGAGTTATAAGAAATGTGGCAAAAGACGGCAGGCTCGCCGAACAGCTGTAATTGTACAACAGAAACTCAGGTGGGTTCAGAAGATTCGTGGAACTAAAACTACTTAAGGAAGAGAACTCTGACTCAGTTGAAAGAATTGCTGGATGCTGATGTTAGGGTCTGTGTAGATGCTAACGCGTTTGCAGTTACTTTTTTTCCAGAACTTTCTAGGTGTGTTGAGTTTATAGTCATGCCTGTGTTATGAGTCTAATTTTGACTATTTAGCTCCTTCAGCTTAAAATTAAAATTTGGAAATTACTGGAATGACCAAAGTTTCTACTCAAAAAGGTGTCACTCTATTATAGTAGTTAACATGGTAGAGTTACTACATGTGAGACCTTGGGAGAGTAATTAGGGTCAAGCTATTCCATTTTAGAGAGTGTAATGAAAACATTTAGCAAAGTAAAATACATCAGTGACAAAATTTAGAAGATAATAATCCAAGGAAAGCATCAAACTCAGGTGAATCATATTCTGGACCAAGGATGCCTGTCGAATGCCAGAGTGACTTTTTCCACATAATGAGCTTATAAAGAGTTGTGAGAGAATATTTATGGGACATCTTATTTCCAATCTTTACACTGTCTCCCCTAAAGCTAGTGGGAAGTGCTTACGTTACATACGCCCCATGCTTTCTCTCAGCAGTGTTCAGACTCAATACTATAAATCTTTTACCTTCTAAAAGCAACATAGTCTTATGCCTTTGGACTTGCTCCAGGAACTGCTTAATTGGAAGTCACTGTCAGCACTGTCCAGCTTTCAACTTCTGCACAGTTGGCTTTACAGTACCCTTCTTGTGACAAGACTATTCTGGCTTTTTCAGGAGCAGTTTGCTAACCAAAAAGCAGGACCAAGCTGCTCGAAAAATAATGAGGTTTCTACGCCGCTGTCGCCACAGGTACATTAATCCTCATCTATACATTTTACTTCAAGAGTAATGAAACAACCTTAGCACTCAACTAATTCTTGTGTAAAGCTAATGCCCCCAGAAAATAAGACAAATGTCCTCAATTACAATAAGATAATAGAGCTCATTAACTAGGGACTAAATTGCGACCATTTGAACTCTGGTGACCGTTTCAGATTAGGCTGTATATGTTGAACAATGGAGATTCATGCCAGTGTTTTTCTGTTTTAATTTGGGTGTGAACACAACTTAGTTGGACTAGCTTTTAATTCTAAATTTCCCTTTCACATTTATTGATATGCCACATTGCAAAATGTTCTTCACTCTAATCACTTACTATGCTAACATGTATCCAAACAGAAAATAAACAGAATTTCTATTCTCAAAGAAAGGAAAATACACCATTAATTCCATCCAAGTTTGCTGATGTAGAATTTCCACTAAATAGCTGGTGCCCTCTGCTGGGTATGCAATAGCTAACATGCTCTATTAAATTACCAACTAAACCTAGTCTGTGAGGAGGAACAGGAGAAATTACTGGAATGAACCTGTGCAGGAAAAGGAAGATCTGAGATCACAGGTGCATTTTCAGTTAAAAGGACATGGGGTCCTGTGACCCTAGCAATTCTCTGGACAGAGCATCTTCTCAGGGAACTAAGCTAGAGGAATTTCTCTTTGTTTCCTAAATTCAAGCTTTGTTTATGAAGACTAGAGTCTTAGATTTCGGGGGGCTGATGAAAAGTGTTTTGTTTTCTTTATTTAGGTTAATATTCCAATCTGACATCTGTAACAGTCGCTTCTGAGCTGTGTTTAGATGACCTTTCATGTGGTTTTGTTGTTTCTCTGTGTATCAGGAGCTGTGCAGTTTATAGTACCAAACTTTGAAAGTCTCTTTAATGTCTTTATTTCCCTCCTCCTGTTTAATTGTACCAAAGGGCCTAGTATTCATCTTTAATTTTATTCTTTGGGGGTTTCACTTTAGTTTTTTTTACTCCTACAACCATCTGATTGTTAGCTTTGAAAATATTTTGCCTTTGAGACTTAATAGGGTTGAACTGGTTACTTGGACTTTTACTTTAATTTATAAAAGAATTCATTCCTATGCCCATAGCAGGAAACATGCACAGCTACTACATTAACAATAATAAAAATGTTTAAAAGAGCATTCGCTAGGATGGAGGGTTTTCTCCAGCTGGAATGCTGTGCTAGGAGCTAACGTGCCCTTACCACGTAAGCCTCAGCAACGTGGGCTCGCTGCCCTGCACCCATGCGGAGTTTTCCCGTGAGAGCTAACAAACGAGACACCAATATCAGAACTGAAATAGGAAGTGCATCAAAATAATGGGTATGGCTATAACATAATGAAAGTAATTCTGTAAGCCTTACCAACCAAGCTCATTCTGTTTTCTTTATTACTCAGCATACCTTTTCCTTAGCATCAGGGCACTTAGGAACAAATTAGAGCAGCTGATTTCCTGAATTTGGTGAAAATACGAAGGACTCACCTAGGCCCTTTTCGTTACATTCTCACATCTGTTCACAGTCCCTTCTTCCCTTTTCCTCTTCTACCTGCAAAATGAAAAACCCAGGAAGACCCTGTCTAGCCCTGGTAGCAATAGACTTGAGCCACTTAGAGCCGAATCACACGGGCACCTCTGCTTTCATGGCCCCGTGGTTAGTACTTTCTAGACAGATTTTATTCAAGAAAATTACCTTAACAGTGCTCTTCTTTGGGTCATTTCAAACACAGCAGGATGTCCACGAGTTCAATTGTGCTATACTTTTTCCCTCATTTCTTCTAGTCTTATCCTTAAACTTTGAATAAATGTACAGGTGATGCAACCTTGGTGATTATGAGCAAAACTATTACACATAAGAGTCCTACATTCATTTCCCTTTTATTTTTGCCAAAGCTGTGCCCTGTGTTTACATTGGGTGAGTTGAGAGAATAAGGTATAAATCAAACATAAATTAATTAAAGGCTGCCTCCCAAAGTAAGCTAAACAAAGGAATCCTTTCATTCTTGTTTTTAGAGTTCTCTTTTTGTAAACTGGTAAAGAAAAATTTCATGAAGAATTTTACATTTGTTAGGTTTACATTTTAAATAATAATAACCTCATAAGAAGGCTAACAAAGGTTCATTATGAAGGATATATCAGATTATGGGCTCTAAATATCTGTGCATTCTTTGGAATGAAATAAAGACCTTTATTGGCCCTTTCTTGGCCATGTATATTAATATTTCTGATATTAGGAAAGTATCTGGGCAAATTTTAATGACCTTGGTATATTGACTGTATAGGTTCAGTATTCACTTTCCATTCCTATACACTCAATTAATACATTCAATTAGGAACTTGAGGAAATCCTTCAAATCTATTGTGGAATTTGGTTTTAAACTCAGGTTTTCCCTAGGATATGTGTAATCCTGTGTTCATTCTAGGTTATTTAATATTATCTTAAGAGAAACTATCATGTTTATTGTCCCTTAGAAACATTAACATCTATATTAAAATAGAAAACCTCTTATGACACCTTCTCAAAAAGGTAGGTAGGTAGAGGCTGCAAAAATCAGGAAGAAGTGTCCCATTTCTAAGTCATACAACTCTAGCCTTTTAAGACTTAAAAATAAATTGGTGAATTTTCTACCTGCTCATTTCACATACCCCACCATCACTCTCCTTTTCTTTCTTTCCAAAAAAGACACCACTTTATACTCTTTTTTGTTGAAATAAAGCTATTTATAAGATTTCTGTTGTGACCCTCATATGCTAATAGCTCTTTGGTATTGTTTTACTGTCTAAAGCCCCCTGGTGGACCATAGGCTGTACAAAAGGGTGAGTTTAGCTGCCTGCTAGCCAGTTTATCTTTATCTTCCATTTTCAATATTTTGCTTTTTGCTTGCTTGCATGGGGCTGCAGCCTAGGTATGCCAGTAAGTTTCACATCCATTTTGAATGAAATAAAATAAAATAAAAACTAACCCTAATTACTAACACTGCTATTTTATACAACAGGAGAGCAGTCACATACGGTAGATGTACAAATGCATGAGTAAGTAAAAGGGAGGGACCTTCTGCAACCACTGCAGGGCATGCTGAGAATGTGGTGGAGGAAGGCTTCAGTATTTAAAAAAATCTAAATAAGGCTGCATTATAAGAAAATATTAATCAAGTGTTTTTTTGTGATTAAAATTATTTGCCACATGAAATTTTCTCAACTGCTTTGTCACAATTTCTAAAGCAAGATGAACTCACTAGGCGGTGGTACTAGACTTAAAAAATAAATTAATCTATTTCTTGTTTAGAATTACTGTTTCCCTATTATGCTCCTGTAGCTTCATTTCCTAAATCTCTCCTTCGTTAGTGCTGTGAGGTAAGTCAGTACACAAAGCTGCCCTTTCAGAACCAACCCAGGACGTTCATTATAAAATAATGAGTGCACCAGACTTCCAGCATTTAATGGTAATACTGAATAAAGAAAATGTGGTACAAAGTATCTTAAATCTCTGTGTTCTATATTAGAGTTAAGAGTGGATATTCCAATAAAATTTGTATTTTAAAGAAACTATACTGAACAGGTGTCCCTGAGATTTTAGAATATAGTACAAATTTGTAAGCATGTGCAAGAGGTAAAAGTCTCTGCCAGATGCAACTATAACATGTTTTAAGTTACCATAAGAGATTTAGTGTCAGAAGACTGTTTTTTAAAAGCCAGGAAGAGAATTCACCAAACTCAGACTTGAATTTAGATTGATTTGACAACTTTTTTCTTATATATAGTCTTAACATGAATTTAAAATATAACATGGGAGTTACGGCTGTCAACTGTATTCAACACCCCCTCTTAACCTTACACTGATTATTTAGATTTCTGAGAAAAGGTCATAATTCAAAAACTCTTAAAACTTTAAAGTTTCTGGAGATATCATTTCCCATTTAACTAGGCTCATGTTGATGCTCATGTTTATTCATTATATTTTAAGCCAGAGGTTGACAAACGTTTTCTTGAAAGGCCAGATAATAATAACTGCTTTAGGCCTTGTGGGCCATTCAGTCTGTCCCAGCTACTCATGCTTCCATTGCAGCATGAAAGCAGCCATGGACAACACCTAAAGGAATGGTTGTGGCTGTGTTTTAATAAAACTTTATTTACACAAGTAGGCAATGGATTGGATTTGGCCCACAGGCTGTCGTTTGCCAGCTTAATAATAGGAGAATTGAGTTTTTATAAGTTCTTCCTAAATAGTGACCTTATCCCTACAGAAGATTTAAATCTTACCTATTTAAAACTATGAGCAGTCACTGAAGGAGAAATTTGTTGTTGTTGTTGTTGTTTTTTAAAAAAGCAGGTACATTCATTTGTAAACTTAACTAGTTAATCCTCTTTAGATTTCGGCATTTGTTCACAATTAAAACATTTCAGGTCTCATATGGTTGAGCTGGCTCAGGGATGTATGTGTTTGAAATGTAAGATAAAAAGGACAAAAATCACCATTTCTCTCTCTATTCCTTCTCAACCTCTACATATATAGATAATATTTCTTTCCATTAAAAAAAAAACAAAAAAAAACCTCCAAGAGAACAGATGCATGCCCTGGTATTCAATTTAATTAAAAGTTGTTGTATCTTGCATGTTATATGCAATTAATACAGCCTGCCGCAAGGAACCAACATGTTATTAGAAGTGGTTGCTTATGCACTTTTGAAGCTTGTTAGTTTCTGGTATGTTAATGATCATTTTTAAGAGTACATTTTCTAAAGGTGCTTTCTAATGCCAGCCAGAATCCCTACCTTAATTTCTTTAGTGCCTGCTGCATTCTATTGTGAACTCCTAAAACTCCTACTCATGCATGGAAGGTTGGAATTTCATAACACCCCTTATGCCTCACCCAGTCTTAAGGGAGTTTGAGAGATAGGAGCTGAGAAGCTTTCAGTTTCCTTCTATCGTGGTAATACTTATCTAACTCTGTGAATTGAGAAATAGCATATATATGTGTAGGTACATATATATCTTTTTGTAACTACCAGTACGATCTCTCCCTCTTTCTTCTATAAAAGAAGTCACAGTGGCACTCCCTCTAACAGTCCCCAAGTTGAAATTACTCTGGGGAGGCAGAGCATTGTCTGAGGAGGATTTATATTCCTGGAATTTATGTCAAAGAAGATAATATACTTATCAATTTATAAAGTACACCATATTTAAGACATTGAAGGTTTATATATTGAAAAATATTTGAAAACTTACAGAATTAAACTTTATGGTACGGTGTTTGTAAAACGTTATTATTGACCCAGACTCCTAGGTTAGCGGAGCAGAAGAATATCTAAAAAGGCAGGCTGTGTCACTCATCAGAATTCAAACACAGTAGGCTAATTCCAGTAGCACAGCGATCAGAAAGTACCACTGGTGTGTTGAATTTTTAGTCTTTGCTTGGAGAAGGCTAATAGAAAGCACCAAATATTCTTCACTGAATTCAGCTCATTTTTATTCAGTCTTTCCTTTAGGCTTAGCTTCTGATTTGTCCAAAAACTTAAAGTGGAGTTGCCAAATTCTTGATACCATCAGGGATTTTTTTTGTCTTGGACACAATAACTGTATTTAGGAAAGAATTTTTGTTATACTCAGAGAGATATTTAAATAAACAGTTTTAATTATTTCTCTCAATTAATTTAGGTGTTATATAATAATTTCAGCAAATGACTGAAGGATTTATAAGGTTTTAGAAACTTTTAAAGCATACATGCCGAAAATACTACTTTCCAGTTGGATTTTGAGTGTATCTATTCAGTTTCATAGCAGAAAAACAAAGATACTTCATATGTAAAGGAAATAGTAAATACAATTATTACTTAACAGATTAACTCAGGGTATTGAGACTTGGCCTAAAAAATGCCTCCTCTCCCCCCCCCCCATTTTTTAAAATAAAAAATGGTTTTCATTTCTGTCTTTAAGACATCATTTTTTGTGGGTAGCAGAATGTGTTCCCATAGATGAGAGAGACCACTCTCTGAAAAGCAATTCCTGGACAAATTCCTCCTTTCTCTATATGAGATCACATTTCTGTGAGAGTGTAACTACAGGTATTGTTATAAGCATTAGGAATTCTGGTATTTAACCTATTTCTTATAAATTGCTGGCCTAGTCAGTCACCTATGTTCAATAAAGTGGGTGCAGCTATTTTACTGGAATAAAAGAACCATAATTAAAGGAAGAAGAAATATACTTTTTGGTCACAAAATTTTAAACAGTAGATTTTCTCTGTATCGGAGTATTTCTAAACACTTAACTTTGCCAGAAGCTGCCAGTCACTTAGGTAAGTAGTGATTTCAGCAAAGCAGCTTTGCCGTGTGCTTCTGGGAGCAGCCCCGTGAATCCCCTCGGTGGGGCATTGGCAGGTTCTGGAGGTTATGCTTACACTTTCTGCTTTGTTATTTACACTTCTATCCAAGGGACCGTTCTCTAACAAAGCCTGGAAGTATACTGTTTGAGAAGAGTAAACAGTGCTCTAGTTTCAACTCCTTTAGTTAAATTTGACGTGAGGTGTATAGTTTCCAAGGGGCCCAATCTATTCATTGAGTAAGAAATGAATGTGGGATGTGTCATCATGGATGTATTTTAAATCTCCAAAGTAATTTTGTCTCACTTGCCTCTTTTAGGAAATGAATATTTTTGGAACACAGTGGTGTGTGTTAAATTGCAGACAACATGCTCTGTGTCATTCTTATTGGGCCTCTCTGTCTTTTTTGTTTTGCAACCCAAATGAGATTTCTGGAAAATGGCAAGAGCTCTCTTTTCCTAAATTCCCCACAAGCTATTGCAGCTCTCAGAGCAACAGGTAACTAATCAGAAAGCCATGTCTGGCTGCCCTGTATGTTTTGACGTCCAGCATTGCGAGAATATACCTGCCGGAATCCACTGACCCATGAAACATTTCTCTGGCTGAGCGTTACTGAGTAGATGCAATGAAGCAGCTTCGCCCTACGCTTTTCCCATGGAGCCATTGTTTGCTATGAGTTTCTGAAGCAGGCCTAGCTCATTTATCCATAAGTTATCATTGGACGTCTGATGGAGATAAACCCTGTGGGCTTTTGCTGGCTTTCAGCGCTGTTGCTTACTACATCACTTCGGTACATTATGACGCAACTTTTTGGGGGTGGTGGGGGAAGAGGTTGAGACTGCAACAGTATCCCAAAGTGGTGATTATTTTCAGCCTAGAATGCTTGGGGAACTCCTGGGATTGTCTTTAATTTTAATAGTTGAATGGTCACAGGTGAAAGTCTTGCTCTCCTAATTACTGTAACTCTAAGCTGGGAATGTGGCTCCTTTCCACCCACGTTACTGATAGGAGGTTCAGAAATGTGGTCATGCAGCTCTCCTTAGGATAGCAATAGCCTTGCCACTATAGAAGCTATCGTTTCTATCCTATACTGTCTTTCTGATCCCAAGGAAGACTGCTTTGCCTGTGTTCTGTGTAATGGAATTTGGAAGTAAGTGCAGTTGTTTTCATATCTTGTGAATGCAGCATTTGTGAGATGAGTAGTAACAGATATATAGAAAAATATCTAATAAGCTTTTTCTTTTAAAGACTAACAAGCAGGAATAATTATTATTACAAAAGAAGCACACACATAGTAAATTGCGGAAATACAAATAGGCAAGGAGAATCACCCAGAGATGATAACGGTTAAACTTTTATTGAGTATCCTTCTTGTTGGTAAAGATTAATTTTTAGTTAATACCAGCCTTTTAGTGATTATTCATGTCCTTGACTGATAATAAGGCAACTTCAGCTTTTTTTAACTATTTGAAACACTCTAGTTTGAAACACCTATTTTTTAAAATATGTTCGAAATTCTAGTAAATCAGATGTTATTCTAAACCACTTCAGTGCTATAAATTGTTTCCTGTTTCTTTGGAGATAATGTAACATTCAAACATTATTTTATTCAATTGACATTTGATTTAAAACAAAATGAAAATTAGATACCACGATCTCATCCTAATAATCTACCCTCAAGGTAAAACTCCATGTATGATTTCAGTAGGGCAGATCGTAGAAGCCTCTCAATTTCATGTACACTTTCAGAGGTAAGTTAACATCAACATGATCTATAAACCACATATTGGAGAACAAGGCTAAAAATCCTCTTTGATCCTTAGACATATTCTTTTCATGTTATAGGATTCTAAATCTAATTGTGTTGTAAAATTGATAAGTACATTTTATGTGGGAGGTCTTTTCCCCAAAAAACACTGTAATAAAATATATCTTATAAAAGATGACATCTTGGAATTGAGAAGATATAATTGTCAATTTTTTTAATACCATGGAAATTTTCCAAATGCATGTTTTTTAATGAGGTCTTTTGGAAAAACCAATAAAATAAGAAGTGGCTTGTTTAAAAATTTCTGTTATTCTAAGAGCTATTATTAGAGGCAGGGGAGTGAAGTGTTGAAACTATAGGCTTTGAAGTGAGACAAACCTAAGTTCAAATCCCTGCTGCCATTTATTAATTATATGATTTGGGGCAGGTCACTTCACTCCTGTGTCTCAGGTTCTTACAAACTGGAGGTAATGGAGGTGTTGTGAGGACTACATAAGGTAACAAATATTAGTAACCTGTATAGCTATTGGAATGTAATGTGTTCTCTTCTTTTTAATCTTTTTCTTCCTTTTTTCCTAATTCCCCCTTTAATGACTTTCTGTAAAAAAAAAAAAAAAGTCTGTGCCATCTAAGTCCTTTTGATGTCATTTATAATGCTAGTATACTTTGGTAACTTCATCATGAAACTGAGAACTAAATTCTCCACTTTAACTCAGGAGTTATGAAAGCCTAAAAAAACATATCTGAAAATTGTAAATGCTCTCATTTTTCCAATGTAGAAATTGTGTGTGGACATGCCTCTCTCCTTAACTTAGTGGTCTGCAAGGCCATCACTAATTTCATAGCAGAGTTCTGAGAGAAACTGAAAAAACCTGCAAAAACAAATGTGACCATTTTAACTAAAAATGTTTTAAGTTACACCTACCCTGGCCAGCTGATTACAGATTCTTTGGTATGAAACTGTGTTAAACATTTCTGGTTTATAATTCAGTCTCCTTTTTATTTCATCTCAATGATGAACTTAATATTTTTAAGGCATTCCTGTTTACTCCAGAAAAATTGTGAATGAATATCTTTGTGTTTATGCTATCAGATTTTGAGTTCAGAATTCCTCAAATTCTAGAAATCTCATCAGTGATGGAGTCACTGTTGCATATTTGTGAATGAGTTCTGTGCTAGTGCAGAAATAAAATGTAATATTTGAAGTGGCATGCACATTTTGCAGTAATTCAGCAAATAGGTCTGCACAAGTACAGATATTGCATGTCTGGAAGTAAAGTTGGCATCAGTGCATGCCTTGCATTTTCCAGCCAAAGGGATGTTAGTTTAGACATTGCATGTTTAAAAATTGAACACAGACTATGGCATGTTTCAATTTTTAAAAAGCCATTTATTTATCAAGTATGCATGTCCAAAATTAGGGACTTATAATCATGCACAATTCTATACTGTAATATGACCCAAATTACCCTGAAATTTAATAATCTATGGTATACCTGATTATAAAATTTAAAACTAAATAATATCTGGATCTACCTGTGAACACAGCAGTGTATTCTAAATGCACCTATTAAGAAAGGAGTCAACAGTTTTGGAGATACACTGTTTGCCACTGTCATTTGTAAAAAATCACGCTAGGACCAAGCTGGGCTTGGTGTATATAGTAAGTAAATAAGACAATTATGAAAGTTTTCAAATATTATAATTCTTTTTAGTGTTGATGATAAAGCTTTTTTTTCTGAAAAAGAGCATCTTCTCTTTGAAGAGATTATATCAACTTTGCAGAATACTCAGACATGATTCTGCTTGGAGGTGGTAAATATAATTGTTCTCTTAAATCGCTATTGTAGTATATGTGCCATTCCATTAACTCCAACCTCTATAATGTAGCAATAATTTGTTACTGTCTTCTTCAAAATGTTTTCTTCCTTCTTTAGTGTTACCAGGGATCTATTTAGAAAGTAAACTAGCATTTGTTTTAAGGTTTTAATTTACTGGTATAACTTAAGATAATAGGAAACACCTGACTCTTAGATATCCAGAAAACTGCATTTGAAATTATTGACCTTTGTATAGGCCCACAACAAATCAGACTTTTCCTTGTCATGCTGTTGAGGTAGAGTATAGGTGTCCCGGGAAACCACTCCTTCTATGTGGCTAAAAGCAGCCTCTCACACCCATTTTGGGAAACAAATGTTACGATGTGGTATGAAGTACTACAAACTATGACTTATACAGTATTCTCTAACTTGCATTTGATCATTTTGCGATTAAGGCAAGCTCATAATTATTTGTCAGTATAGAGAAAAATTCTTGTAGCTGACAGCCTGGCACCCCATCTACACCTACACTGTATTCAAAAAAGAGACAAATTTTTATGTTAAAAAATACAGATCGGCAGTGATAATAATTTGCTGATGTGAACTTTCCATGACTCCGTCTATAACAATTTCATTTAAATTTGTTTACTACAGTATGTTTGATAAATAGAACAAAGTGCCTTCTTGGTATTGTACCCTGCTGCTGTCCATCCGGAAGCGCTGGGGGAGGAGCCTGGGCGTCTCTTATAGTTACAGTGGAATGGGAGGAAAGTAAGGGATTATGAAAATCAGACTACACAACACCTGAGTGAAATAGTAGAGTTGTGCAGATGTATGATCAGGTTCAAGATACCTAACAATCTTGAGTCTAGTAGCAAGGCAATAGTTTGATCCTAAGTATATTAAAACCTACGTAAATGTGTGTGTAATTTACATCACATGGAACTATAAGGCATTAGTGGTTGTCCACCAGGCTAAAAAGAAGTTCATTTGAAGAGTTAAATTTTTCTAAGATGAACATGGTATTGTCACACTTTATTTAATACATTAGACTTCAGTTTTGCCTTGTTTTTAGAGCACTTGATGTAGAGCAAAGTTTAGAATTTTTTTTAATCACTTTAAGAAGGATCATGTCCTCTCTTTGAATATTTTCCCCAGCAGTTTTACAGGAGTTTCTTTTGACATCAGTCCTCAAAAGGGTTTTTGGTTTGGCTTTTCATTTCAGAGGGAGTGATAATACCCCTTTCCTTTATTTTGTCACAGTTTCACTATATAGTTATCGCCTGGTGTTTTGTTTTGTTTCTCTTCCAGAGTGAAAGAATTGAAAAAGGCCAAGGAACTTGAAGACATACAGCAGCATCCCTTAGCAATGTGACATTGCTTTTCAGACTGTTTTCATTTCTGTTTTTAGCAGAGACATGCAACAACAACATACACGCGCACACACACACACACACACACACACACAATCCCTCTGCAGTGTTGGGGAGATCAGCTGCAGGATTTTAACAGGAATGTTTTGGTCATTGCATTTGCACTTTCATGGACAACTTTTAATTTGATCAGCAAGACATCTTGGAACTCAATCTTCTGTTGGATCATGGGAAAACAAGACACCAGGAGGAATTGAAAGAGGCTTCTTCTTAGGAAGAAGTCATTTCCTTCTCATATAGGGCTGTATTCAAACATCGTGTGGAACTGTACAAATATTTATACCAAAAATATAGATAAGAAAAGGTGGGGATATACTAGCAACAAAAAAGAATGCTGTGCCTGCACCTGTCGGTTATTTCCAAGAAGCTGAATCTTTGGGATTGATTCTCAGTGGAGGGCTTAGATCATACAAATCTTTATTGGGTCCGTGTGTTCTCATTTCCTTCACTGTTTATTTTGTTTGTTTGTTTGTTTGTTTGTTTTAATCTCTACAGCACACTTAATGCAACTTTTAAAATCTGCAGGTTTTTAATGTCTTGTGGAAATTTGCAGAGGGGCGGGTGTGTGGTAAACGGGTAATGCATGGGAAACAATGAGAAACAGCTTACAGAGTTTAAATTTATTTTCTTGTCCCCACCACCTCCCAAGAACCTGCGAGGATAGTAATCATCTTGTCCCCTTTTTCATGTTCAGCACTTTAATTTTTTTGCCTTACTTTCATGTGCAATGAAAATTACTTAAGAATTGGTAAAGCATGTAGCCTTTTTTAGTAACCTTGGAAACTGTAGTAATTCTAAGGAATCATAAACCTTGCCTGGACATTTGCCACCTAAATGATCAGTGTGGTGCTGCGTTCTGGCCAGTAAATTCCATGTTTTTGGCTATATCTCATCCAAATGGAGCAGTTTCTGTGTATATATAGAAGGTAGAAATGAAAAGTGAGAAAATATTTGAAAGGGATTATATTAATTGCTAAATATTTTATTCACAAAGGTCAATAACATGGCAAGATAAAATTATTTGTATAGTTTTGTCTGAATGAGCGAGAAAAATGTGGATGTACTGTTTGTATATATTGTATATATTAAAACAAAGAGATATGTGCATGAACTCAAGAAGAAATGAACAAAAGCAAAGCATTAGTGGCTATGGTCTGTAAAATGAAACAAAAAAACTTTATTTCACTATAAGAGTACTTTATTTTAAATGTTCTTTAGAAGAACATTTTGCTAAAGCATGACTAAACTGCAAAAAAAAAAAAGAGCTACTGTATTTAGACTTAGGAAAAAAGGCAGAGTAACATTACTTAAAAAAAAAAAAGGATATGTTTACATTTAATTTTGGCTACCAGGAGTTTAGTTTATTTTATTTAAAATTTTTTTGCCAATGGTGCCAAGTAATGTGAATGCTAATATTGCTTAAGAAAATTAAGTTACTTTTGCAAAACAGATAATCATAAGATGAATCAGTATGTAGCTTAACACCATCCACTCACTCCAACAAAGAACACTTAGAATGATCAAAACCTGACAAAAGAAATACTATGAAAAGTAGAAAAATGTCACGCTTCCATATCTCCTGCTGGAAATCAGAAAATGTTATAAAAATTGCACAAAAAGTAACTAAAAATGAAAACGAGTCAGACTGGTCTTGTTAGGGATGTCATGGTGTATTACTATTTCCACATAATGAGGAGCCAAAGAAATCTGATGTTTTTAAAAATTAAACTACTAATGTTAAATTGAGAGAATAAAGTTTGCATTTGCTGATGCCAGTTTAAAACTCCCAGGTTAAGTTTAAGGATCAGTTGGTGTGAAGCTGAGATTTTTTTCTTGGTTCTGGCTGCCAACTGTGAGTTAAAACTCAAGGCTTGTTGTGAAGCCTAAAAATATTCACAAATAAGCTTTTAAACTGGTGTCTTTGGAAGGAAGGTAGATACAAAAAGATTGTGGTAAAAACTGGGGTCAGTGCTCTTGGTGCCTTTTCTATAATTGTACTTGTTTTTTAATTACTTCCTTTCACTGCCAACCTCGAATTACTGTACAGTATATGTCTTTCTGCTTGTGATCAGCTTTGACAACAGTGACAGCCCCACAACTAGTAGCCACCTGTACATTTGTAAACTGACCTGACTCAATTTTGTTTTTAAATGTGTGGGTTATGTTGCAGCTGTTGCAGTCCCCCAAATACGTATTATTTTACACAATTTGACCTATAGGAGGACACTGAGTAATTTATGAACACACAATTGCATTCATAAATGGGAACAGAATGTGAAAGCCAGCTCTTTCAGAACATCCTATATTAATACTGAATTTTAGATATGTTTATTCCATTTATTATGGTACAACTAATGATCTTTTGACCAGAGTAATGACCTCAGTGGATTTGCTTTAACCCTCACATTTATTTTTTTTTAAATGTTTCACATGCTACATTATTAGCTGAATAAGTTAGGAAATTCCAGAAGATAGAGACTTATGTAGAATTAGGAGGGTTTTTATGGAAGGGATGGGAAGTAGGTTCAAAGCCTACCACCAGTGTAACCTACCAGTACAACTGTGAATCCTAGGTGAGGTAAAAATGCACTTCCACTGAAACAAAGCATTTCTGACTGCTTTTCCTTGGTTGTAAATCTTAATTTTGAATATAAGATGATAGGTAAGCGCAGCTTTCTTGGATAATCTGAATTCCCAAGTGCCAGGAGTAGGATTTCATTATAAAATTAATAGCTAATCTTATTCTATCTCCTGAAGATTTAATTGCTATTCTTGTTACCCATTCAAAATCAGCTGTACTGTGTGAACGAAATAAAGACAATAACACGAACCCCTCTCTGGCTGCACGGTCGCTTATGGCAGTTCCACACAGTAGTTGGCGCCCAATGGGGGGTCCCTGAGACTTGCATGTAAAACTAGTCTAGATGTCTTCTTTTTTGTAAGTTTTATTTTTGTAATTGTGCATGTAAAGCATCATTGAATCAATGGATCTGTTGAAGAACTCAGCTGCTGGAAACCATGCAAAATGTTTTGAATTGCCCTTAAAATATGGAAAATGTTTTCTGAATGCTTTATATTCTTTCTGCTGTAAATTAAAAATGAAGAAAATTTCCCCATACTATGTGTGTGTTTTGCTTTAACTTGACCTGATATTGAAATCCAAGGTGATGAGCACTGTTTCAGGCTGTCTAAAGTAATTTTAAGTATTTCTTTCTGATCCAGATACAGTGTTTTGACATTGAGTGTTACATTGTTTCAGGTAAGTCCTTGAAAGAAAAAATTTCTTAGAGCCACTGTTCCTACCGCACTTGCTTTTCACCTATCTCCCAGGCACCTCTCAACATGTCAATTATTTGTATAAGGCACTGCAGTTATTTGAAAGATAAAGATATTAATCTAGATTCACCTTTTCAGTTAAAACCCTCTGAAGTTTTTTTAAAAGGCATTTTCCAGCAGACTACCACCATCATCATCCTCCTTTCCGAGTATTCTGTCGTCATTGTTCCATTACTATTCACTGCACAGCCTCTCCTTATGTCCCCTCGCAGTCCCTCTTCTAATCCATCTCAGTACTACTGCCAAAGTTTGCATCATGGATCTCCCAACTCCGTGAGTCCTCAATGGTTTCCAAAACCCACTGCCTTTACGTGACTTTTTTGGGGGGGCTTGTTTATCCTCACTTATTATTCAGTCTTGCTTTCACTGTGGTTGGCCTGTGCACTCCACCTCCGTTTCCGTTTCCACTGCTGTGTTTGTTCATCTCTAGCTATTTCCAACTGGAATCCCACCGCCTCTGTGACACGCTTGTTTATTCTAATGTACACCAACATTTCCCTTTTCAAATTATTCTACTTGGAATTGGAAAAGACAAGCTTAGTATTTAAGTGCTATATTTTTCACTTCTCACCCAACCAGCCAATTATTCTATTAGAGTTTTGTTTGTTTTCTTAATGTAGGAGACTGTCTTGTGTTGGTAGGAATATCTAAGTAACAAATGCATTACAAAGTAACTTACTGTATTCAGACTTGTGCTTCCCTTCATTGGACCAAAAGTTAAGGACCTACTCTGTGCTAGGACCTGAAAATACAGAAATGAAGAAAGTATATCAAGGTTGCCAGAAGCAAATTATAATATCGTCTGTGCAATAATAAATCTTGTGTCACAAAACGTGAGGTAGGGGAACCTGTGCCACCCAAGCCTGTGACAAATACCTCAAATGGGCTTCCTTCATTTTAACATTCTTGGAAAAACGTGGTGCCCCCAAGGATCACTAGTCAATCTGGGACATTAAGAAGAAGCCAATAAACTGTCTTGTTTATTGTCACGGCCAGAGAAATGGTCCCCAGTCCCAGAATAACATAAAAGACCCCCACCCCCACTTACCCAAACAGTCCCTTCCCGTGCCTAACGCAACACAACTTCCTGGAGGCCTCGCCCGGGGCCCCACCCACTTCCGGCGCGCCCTCCGCGGCCCGGCGCGCCCTGCCCACTCCGCCTGGCCCCGGCCGGTGACGTCACTGGCCCGGCGCCGCGCCGCCCCGCCCTGTTCCCGGCCTCCGTCCCTGCTGCGCAGCTCTGCGGACCCTCGCAGCCGTCGCCGCCAAAATGTGAGTGACGCGACGCGACAGGGGGCGGCTTCAGGCCCCGGAGGCGCCGGCCCAAGCACGGCTCGGCTGTCGCCGGCCGCCGCTCGGACGCGGGCCGAGGCCGCGCGGGGATCCCGAGGCCTGGGGGCGGGCGGCGGGGCAGGCCTGGGGGTGCGGGCTGCAGGCGGGCCGGGCCGTGCCCGCGGCGCCGCTGTGCGTTCCGGAACGCCCCGCGGCCGTCGGGCGGACGCGGAAGGGGCGAGGGCGGCGGCCTTCCCGGAGGAAGCGAGCTGCCTCCCCTCGCGCTCCCCGCGCCTCGCTGTTTCTCCCCGGACCCCCGAGGTCGCTAAGAGGAGCGGTGGCGACTGCGCTCGAACCGGGCGCCCACTCTGGGCCCGGCGCTGCGCTGGGCTCCAGAAGTTGCAAGGGGAAGGACCTCGGCCCTGTCGCAAGGCCGCTGCGGGCCGAAGCGCTCCTTGACCAGCCTGGAGCGGCTGCACCCGGGAAGATAACCTAGCCACGGCCCTTCGCTCTCTTCTGAGCGGAAGCACTCTTGTTGTGGCCCTTGAAATCGGTGTTTCCAGGGGTAACACTCAGAATGCTAATTGTTGGAATCACAGGACCCTCTGTCTCCCCTGCAACCTGCTCATTGCTCACCCACAAAGGAAACTCCAGGTTTCTCCTGGCAGCTTGGATCGAATGTTCCTGCTGAGGCTGCTGTGCTAGTAGATCACAGAGTCGTTAAGATCTAGATCCGTGAGATTATACGGGACCTGATCTAGACACAGGCTCCACTACAGCCAACTGTGTTGACTTTCTAAACCTCACTTTACTCAGCTATAAAATGGGGGCTAACATTTTTATATTGTTCATCTCAAAGAGTTATGAGGATTAAATGAGAAAATACATGGAAAGTTTCTAGCATCGGGGCATGGTCCTTATTATCTACCACCCACTAAACTCTGTGAGGGCAGCAATTTGATCTGCTGTATCCTTGGTCGTTGACACATGATAGTTGTGAAAGGACTCTTTTTTTTTAATCAATGAATCAGTGTCTGTTGTACAGCCATGTACAGACATGCTAGGTGCTGCCTTGGTTACAGAAAAGAGAATTCTAAGGCTCAGTAGCCTGTGATCTATTAGGGAGTCAAGACTTCATGTACAACTGAAAAAACAAAGTGATACCAACCAAGCAATGGGGGCAATAAAGACTTCAGGCCACAGTGGTTAAGATAGATCTGCATAGGGGAAAATAAAGCCTTCGATGAAGATTTTAAAAGATGAGTACCTTTCTGAAAGAGGGAATATTGCTTCAACTCATCTTTCCCACTCACCTCATCCCTGTCCCTGCATCTCAGTTTTCCTGACTGTTTCTATAAATAAATCTAGTTCTCCATATTGGAAAAAGGACATTCTATAATTGTTCATAACTGTGAAAACAGTTCTTGCCACAGTGAAAAGATCAGGAGAATACTGAGTGTGTTAAAGCAGATGTATGTCTTAAAACAAGTAAAAAAAAAAAAAGTGGAAAGTAGAGGTCACCTATCTTAGAATCAGGTACTTCAGTGATACAGAGTAGATCCTATTATACCTTCACTTTAGCCCCTGGTCACTTTAACATTGGGACAATCTTGAAAATTGTAGAGGAATTAGAAGAAATGCCATTAGATCCTTTGTTCATTACTTTAGGAAGGATCACTTTTTTGTTTTGTTTTTTTGTTGTTGTTTTTTGATTGTTAGGGTTTTTTGCTTCAGTTCTGATGTAAGAGGTTATTAACACTGAGAGTCCTGGAATAACATTATACTTAACAAAAACGTATTTGGGATCATAATTTACTCATGCTCCTGCCTTTACATGTTTCAGGTCTACAGGTGCACCTGCAGGTTCAAGTGCTGCCGCTGGCAGTAGTCGAAGACTTCAGCAGACTCAAAATCAAGTAGATGAGGTATTGTTCTGAAATGTTGAAAACGTGAATTTGAAACAAATATGCATCATGGAAATAATTCTGTTTAGAAAAAGTATCGTAAAAGTGTGAATGTGAAGTAAATGTAAAAGTGTGAATGTGAAGTAAATTTAGGCTGTATCTTAATTGTAACAGAAATTTGCTTCCTGTTGATCTGAAAGCCCTGATCTGAAAGCAGAAGTCAGACTCTCCAGGCTTCATGCTTATTTTCCTATGATGGAATCACATACCTAAAACACAAACACCCCTCCCTGAGAACAGCCCCAAGAACCACTTTATAGAATAGGGTAGTAAAAGTGTTCAAATAATAGGTCTTTAGATTGCTCAAATCAGAACCAATTCTTCTGATCAGAGTTTTTATCAAAATGCTTTGTCCTGTAGCCTTACTTACTAGTTACTGGGCCTGAACAAGCCTCTGGAATTCATCGCTGACTGTTGCCTGTTGACACACAGAAGGCAGATACTGGCCAACCGTGCTAGCCCAGCAAATCTATGTTTGTAGAATCCTTGAGTTAGAGGATCTTCACAACATACTTTATTCTGCTCTGTATATGCAGAACCACAGCTGAATATTGAGAAATTCAGACTAGTATTTCCATATTCCTAAAAGTTGTCTCTGTCCAACAAAAATAATCTTGGTCTTTCTACATTTAGCGGCCCTAAGAAGCAGAGTTTAAAGTTATATTAGGACCAGCATGGTGGCTCATGCCAAGGCAGGAGGATCATTGAGGCCAGGAGTTTGAGACATGACAAAACCCCATCTCTACAAAAACTAAAAAAATTAGCTGGGGGGGGGGCATATGGTCCCATCTACTCTGGAGGCCGAGGCAGGAGGATGGCTTGAGGCTAGTAATTTGAGACTGCAGTGAGCTGTGATCAGGCCATTGTACTGCAGCCTGGGCAACAAAGTAAGACCTTGTCTCAAAAAAAAGGTTATACACTGTTGTTAAATCACATAATAATGTTTTGATCTGATGGTTTTGTTCATGAACTTAATCCTGAAAATTTCAGATTTTCATAGTTAGAAACTCATTCTAATTCTGTCTTTCCTGAAACTTTTGTTCACTTACAAAATCAAGTTGGATTTTTTTTTATTAATAATCAAAGTAATTTTCAGGAGAGTTTTTAAATTGAGGTGAAAGTCACATAACATACAATTAACCATTTTAAAGTGTACAATTTGGTAGTGTTTAGTACATTCACAATGTTGTGCAACCATTACCCCTTTCTAGTTTCAAAACTTTATCATCCCTTAGCTGCATACTAGGTACTAGGAAAAAAAAAAAAGAAAAAAAAAACTTTATCATCCCAGAATAACACCCTGTTCCCATTTAGCGATCACTCCCTCTCCCCTCATTCTCCCATTTCTGGGTAACTCTAATCAACTTTCTGTGTCTATGGATTTGCCTGTTCTAGGTATATCATATAAAAAGAATCATACAATATGTAGCCTTTTGTGTCTGGCTTCTTTCACTTAGAATGATGTTTTTGACATTCATCCAAGTTGTAGCATGTATCAGTACCTTGTTTCTTTTATGACTGAGTAATATTCCACTTTATGTGTATACGACAGTTTGTTGATTCACTCGTCTGTTAATGATATTTGAGTTGTTTCACCTTTCAGCTATTATGAATAATGCTCCTATAAACATTCACTTACAAGATTTTGTTTAGACATGTTTTTATTTCTCTCGAGTTTATACCTTGGAGTACCATTGCTTGATCGTGGTAATTCTATGTTTTGCTTTTTGAGGAAGTGCCAAATTGTTTTCCATAGTGGCTGTACTATTTTATATTCCCACCAGCAATGTCCAAGGTTTTCTGTTTCTCCATATCCTTGCCAGCAATTGTTTTCCTTTTTTTTATTATAGTTATCCAGCAAGCGTGAAGTGGTATCTCATTGTGCTTTTAATTTGCATTTCTGTAATGATTAGTGATTTTAAACATATTTTCATGTGGTTATTGGCCATTTGTATGTCTTCTTTGAAGAAATGTCTATTCAAGTCCTTTGCCCATTTTTTAATTGGGATGTTTGTCTTTTTCTTGAGTTGTCAGAGTTGTTTTTTTAATGTATTCTGGATAGAAAACCTTTCTTTACTACATATGTGATTTGCAGATATTTTCTCCCATTCTATGGGTTGTCTTTTACATTCTTGATAATATCCTTTGATGCACAAAAGTTTTTAATTTTTATGAAGTTCGGTTTATTTGTTTTTTTTTCTTTTGTTGCTCTTGCTTTTGGTATCAAATCTAAGAATCTGTGGTGGCCAAATCCAAAGTCATGAAGATTTATCCTTATGTTTTCTTCTAAGAGTTTTAGTAGTTTTAGCTCTTACATTTAGGTTATTGATCCATTTTGAGTTAATTTTTGTATAGAGGGTAAGGTAGGGGTCCAAATTCATTCTTTTGCATGTGGCTATTCAGTTGTCCCAGCATCATTTTTTGAAAAGACTATTCTTTCCTCCATTGGAAATGGCACCCTTGTCAAAAATCAATTGGCCATAGATGTTTGGGTTGATTTCTGGACTCTCAATTCTATTCCATTAGTCTGTATGTCCACATACCAGTGCCACACTGTCTTGATTATTGTAGCTTTGTAGTAAGTTTTGAAATGGGGACATGTGAGCCCTCTAACTTTGTTTTTCATTTTGAATATTGTTTTGGCCATTTAGGACCCTTTGCAATTACCATATGAATTTGGTGATTGGCCTTTACCTTTCTGGGAAAAAAAAGCCATTGGAAGTTTGATAGTGATTGCATTGAACCCATACATTGCTTTGGGGAGTACTGCCACTTTAGTGATGTTAAGTCTTCCAGTGTATGAACTATGAGATGTCTTCCCATTTAATTAGGTCTTTAATTTCTTTCAGCAATGTTTTCTATGTGCAAATCTTTCACCTTCTTGGGTAAATTTATTTCTAGGTATTTTA